CTCGTCAGGACTGGGCTTGACTTTGGTTGATTTTTGGCGTTGTGTTGGTTGATTTTGCTTGATCTTGAGGCGTAGGGTGAGGCGAAAATCTTGTTTGGACTGGGCTTGACTTTGGTTGATTTTGCTTGATCTGAGGCGTAGGTTTAGGCGAAAACCTTGTCAGGACTGGGCTTGACTTTGGTTGATTTTTGCTTGATCTGAGGTGTAGGTCTAGGCGAAAACCTTGTCAGGACTGGGCTTGACTTTACTTGATTTTTGGTATTTTTGTTTGTATTGTGTTGGTTGATTTTGGTTGATGTGAGGCATAGGTTTAGGCGAAAACCTTGTCAGGACTGGGCTTGGTTTTGGGTTCATTTTGGTATTTTTTTGGTATTGCATGGCTTTATTTTGGTTGATGTGAGGGGCAGGCTTAGGCGAAAATGTTGTTCAGACTTGGGTTCATTTTGGGTGATTTCTGCTATTTTTTTGGTATTGGGTTGGTTGATTTTGCCTGAGTTATTGCTGTTGTATTGCTTGTCTTGCTGGGGTATTGTATTGTGGTGTATTGTAGTGTGTTGCTAAGCTATCTAACCGAGAAGCGAGACACCGAGAGAATATGTTTTTATACGAGACAACGAGAGAGCTAACGGGCGGGTGGGTGGGGGCGGTCTAACATATGATTGCCCTGCTTATCCTTATCCTTATCCTTGACTATCGTATTGTTATCGTAAGTTATTGTATCGTAGTCTATCGCGTTTCTTATCCTTGACTTCCTTATCGTAGTCTTGACTATCGCGTTTCTTATCCTTGACTTGCTTATTGTGTCGTAGTCTTGACTATCATGATCCTTATCCTTGTCTTTTCCTTGTTTTCTTGATTTTTTGCTATCATAGTCTTGACTATCGTATTCCTTATCCTTTTCCTTATGGCCCAGGTCGAAACCTCGTTCAGACTTTGCTTGACTTTGCTTGATTTTTGCATTTTTATCGGAGTAGTTCCCACGGTTGAATTGCTTTCATAATGCCCAGATTCAACCTCCCCTGTTCTGGGCATTTTTGACATGTTGAGAAATGCCCAGAATTGACCTCCCCTGTTCTGGGCATTTTTGACATGTTGAGAAATGCCCAGATCTGACCCCCCCCTGTTCTGGGCATTTTTGACATGTTGAGAAATGCCCAGATCTGACCCCCCCCTGTTCTGGGCATTTTTGACATGTTGAGAAATGCCCAGATCTGACCTCCCCTGTTCTGCGCATTTTTGACATGTTGAGAAATGCCCAGATCCGACCCCCCCCTGTTCTGGGCATTTTTGACACATTGAGAAATGCCCAGATCTGACCTCCCCTGTTCTGCGCATTTTTGACATGTTCAGAAATGCCCAGATCTGACCTCCCCTGTTCTGCGCATTTTTGACATGTTCAGAAATGCCCAGATTGTGCTCTTTTGGCTAGCCATAACCTGGGTGTAACCAATACCAGGTTACAAATGTGCCCTTAGAATGAGTTGTTGTATTGTATTGCATTTTTCTTGTATTGTATTGTATTGTTCTTGTATTGTATCATTATCGTGTGGTATTGTATGGCAGTCTATCGTGTTTGTTATCCTTGACTTGACTATCGTATCGTATCTTATCGTATCCTATGGTATGGCGTTTCTTATCCTTGACTTGACCTGGTTGCTTGGTTGTCATAGTCTGTGGTGTGGTGTTTCTTATCCTCGTCTTTTGCTGTTTGTTGTTGTTGTAGTCTTGACTATTGTTTTGCTTATCCTTATCCTTGTCTGGGCTGATGCGTGGGTCAAGGTCAAAACCTCGTTTTGATTTTGCTTGATTTTTGCTTGATCTGATGCATAGGCTGAGGCGAAAACCTCGTTCAGACTTTGCTTGACTTTGCTTGATTTTTGCTATTTTTGTTGCTATCGTCTTGCTTGATTTTCCTTGATCTGAGGTGTAGGTTTGGGCGAAAACCTCGTCAGGACTGGGCTTCACTTTGCTTGATTTTTGCTTGATTTTGCTTGATCTGAGGCGAAAACCTCGGTTGGACTGGGCTTGATTTTGCGTGATTTTTGCTATTTTTTTGCTATTGTGTGGCTTGACTTTGCATGATCTGATGCGTAGGATTAGGCGAAAACCTCGTGCGGACTTGGGTTGACTTTGCTTGATTTTTGCTATTTAATTGCTATTGTGTTGCGTAGGGAAAGGCGAAAACCTGGTGCGGACTTGGGTTGACTTTGCTTGATTTTTGGGTTTTTTTGCTATTGTCTTGCTTGATCTGATGCTCTGATGCGTTGGTTAAGGCGAAAACCTGGTTTGGACTGGGCTTCATTTTGCATTATTTTTGCTATTTGTTGGTTGTTTTGTTGCTTGATCTGATGGGTAGGCGAAGGCGAAAACCTTGTTCAGACTTGACTTCATTTTGCTTGATTTTTGCTATTTATTGGCTCTGGCGTTGCTTGATTATATGCTGTTGTATTGCTTGTCTTGCTATGGTATTGTATTGTAGCGTATTGTATTCCTTATGCTTGTATTGCTATTGTGTAGTGCCAAGAACCGAGACACCGAGACGATACGTTTTTATCCGAGACGACGAGAAAGCTAACAGGGCGGGGGGGTGGGGGCAAGCTAAAATATTATTTGCCCTGGTTTTCCTTATCCTTGACTATTGTATCGTTGTCGTATGGTACGTTATTGTATAGTATCGTAGTCTATTGTATTATTATCGTAAGTTATCATTATCGTATCGTATCGTATGTTATCGTAGTCTATCGTGTTTCTTATCCTTGTCTTGACTATCACGACGTATCCTATGGTATTGCGTTTCTTATCCTTGACTTCCTTATCGTAGTCTTGACCATCGTGATCCTTATCCTCGTCTTTTGCTTGTTTTCTTGATTTTTTGCTATCGTAGTCTTTGACTATCACATTCCTTATCCTTATGGCCCAGGTCAAAACCTCGTTCACGCTTTGCTTGACTTTGCTTGATTTTTGTGTTTTTTTTTGTGTTTGTGTTGCTTGATTCTGCTTGATCTTGTCTGGAGTGATGGGTGGCGAAGGTCAGAGTTTTGTTCAGACTGGGCTTGATTTTGCTTGATTTGTGTATTTGATGCGTTGGCTGAGGACGAAACCTTGTTCAGACTAGGGTTTATTTTGCTGTATTTTTTGTATTTGATGGGTAAGTTTAGGCGAAAACCTCGGTCAGACTGGGCTTTATTTTGCTTTATTTTTGCTATTTGATGGGTAAGTTTAGGCGAAAATGTTGTTTGGACTGGGCTTGATTTTGCTGTATTTTTGCTGTTTGATGGGTAAGTTTAGGCGAAAACCTCGGTCAGACTGGGCTTGATTTTGCGTGATTTTTGCTATTTTATGGCTCTGGTGTTGGTTTATTTTGGCTGTTTGATTGGTATTGTATTGGTTGTGTTATTTGACGCGTGAGTTTAGGCGAAAACCTCGGTCAGACTGGGCTTGATTTTGCTTGATTTTTGGTATTTTATGGCTCTGGTGTTGGATTATTTTGGCTGTTTTATTGGTATTGTAGTGTGTTGGTATTGTATTGGTTGTCTTGCTGTTGCATTGCGTAGTATTGTATTGTATTCCTTATGCTTGTCTTGACTATTGTATAGTACCGAGAGCCGAGACACCGAGAGAATACGTTTTTATCCGAGACGACGAGAAAGCTAACGGGGGGGCGGTGGGTTTCTAAGCTTTAATGGGCGGGGGGGTGGGGGGATCTAAGATATTATTGCCCTGCTTGTCCTTATCCTTGACTATTGTATTGTTATTGTATGTTATTGTATGTTATCGCATATTGTTGTATGGTGGTCTATCGTAGTCTGTTGCGTTTCTTATCCTTGTCTTGACTGTCGTATTGTGTCCTATGGTATTGCTTTTCTTATCCTTGACTTCCTTATCATAGTCTTGACTGTTGTGATCCTTATCCTTATCCTTGTCTTCTGCCTGTTTTGTTGATTTTTTTGCTGTGGTGGTCTTGACTGTTTCACTCCTTGTCTGGGTTGAAGCCTTGTTTGGACTTTGCTTGATTTTGCTTGACTTTTGCTGTTTTTTTTCTGCTGATGGAACGGTTGATCTTGTCTGGGGTGAAGGGTGGGGGAAGGCGAAAACCTTGTTTGGACTGGGCTTGACTTTGCTTGATTTTTGCTATTTTTTTGCTGTTGCGATGGGTAGGGAAAGGCGAAAACCTTGTTTGGACTGGGCTTGACTTTGCTTGATTTTCGATGCTTTTTTGCTATTGTGTCCCTTGATCTGAGGGGTAGGGGAAGGCGAAAACCTCGTTTGGGCTGGGCTTGATTTTGCTTGATTTTTGCTATTTTATGGCTCTGGCGTTGGTTTATTTTGGCCGTTTTGGGGGTATTGTGTTGTCTTGGTATTGTGCTGTATTTGTTGTCCTTGTGTTGACTATTGCGGTGTATTGTGATCTATTGCGGTTTTGTATTGTATTTGTATTGTATTCCTTATGCTTGGGTTGACTATCGTAGTCTATTGCCTTGCTTGTCTGGCTGTTGTATGGTACCTCTAACCGAGACACCGAGAGAATACGTTTTTATCCGAGACGACGAGAAAGCTAACGGGTGGGGGGGCGGGGGCGATTCAAGAATGCTGACGTATGGCGAGCCCTGATATCCTTATCCTTGACTATTGTATTGTTATCGTATTGTCTTGCGTTTTTATTGTATGGTGGTCTGTTGTGTTTGTTGTCCTTGACTTGACTTGGTTGTTGTGGGGTATGGTGTGGCGTGGTGTTTCTTATCATTGTCCTTGTCTTTTGCTGTTGTAGTCTTGACTGTTGTATTGCTCATCCTCATCCTTGTTTCAAGTTTGCTTGACTTTGCTTGATTTGAGGCGTGGGGTGAGGCGAAAACCTCGTTTGTACTTGGGTTGACTTTGCTTGATTTTCGCTATTTTTGTGCTATTGTGTCGCTTGATCTGATGCGTAGGCTGAGGCGAAAACCTTGTTCAGACTTTGCTTGACTTTGCTTGATTTTTGCTTGATTTTTGATATTTTCTTGCTATTGTGTTGCTTGATCTGAAGCGTAAGCGAAGGCGAAAACCTCGTCAGGGCTGGGCTTGACTTTGCTTGATTTTTGGTATTTTTTTGGTATTGGGTTGCTTGATTTTGCTTGATCTGAAGCGTAGGGTGAGGCGAAAACCTCGTCAGGACTGGGCTTGACTTTGGTTGATTTTTGGCGTTGTGTTGGTTGATTTTGCTTGATCTTGAGGCGTAGGGTGAGGCGAAAATCTTGTTTGGACTGGGCTTGACTTTGGTTGATTTTTGCTTGATCTGAGGCGTAGGTTTAGGCGAAAACCTTGTCAGGACTGGGCTTGACTTTGGTTGATTTTTGCTTGATCTGAGGTGTAGGTCTAGGCGAAAACCTTGTCAGGACTGGGCTTGACTTTACTTGATTTTTGGTATTTTTGTTTGTATTGTGTTGGTTGATTTTGGTTGATGTGAGGCGTAGGTTTAGGCGAAAACCTTGTCAGGACTGGGCTTGGTTTTGGGTTCATTTTGGTATTTTTTTGGTATTGCATGGCTTTATTTTGGTTGATGTGAGGGGCAGGCTTAGGCGAAAATGTTGTTCAGACTTGGGTTCATTTTGGGTGATTTCTGCTATTTTTTTGGTATTGGGTTGGTTGATTTTGCCTGAGTTATTGCTGTTGTATTGCTTGTCTTGCTGGGGTATTGTATTGTGGTGTATTGTAGTGTGTTGCTAAGCTATCTAACCGAGAAGCGAGACACCGAGAGAATATGTTTTTATACGAGACAACGAGAGAGCTAACGGGCGGGTGGGTGGGGGCGGTCTAACATATGATTGCCCTGCTTATCCTTATCCTTATCCTTGACTATCGTATTGTTATCGTAAGTTATTGTATCGTAGTCTATCGCGTTTCTTATCCTTGACTTCCTTATCGTAGTCTTGACTATCGCGTTTCTTATCCTTGACTTGCTTATTGTGTCGTAGTCTTGACTATCATGATCCTTATCCTTGTCTTTTCCTTGTTTTCTTGATTTTTTGCTATCATAGTCTTGACTATCGTATTCCTTATCCTTTTCCTTATGGCCCAGGTCGAAACCTCGTTCAGACTTTGCTTGACTTTGCTTGATTTTTGCATTTTTATCGGAGTAGTTCCCACGGTTGAATTGCTTTCATAATGCCCAGATTCAACCTCCCCTGTTCTGGGCATTTTTGACATGTTGAGAAATGCCCAGAATTGACCTCCCCTGTTCTGGGCATTTTTGACATGTTGAGAAATGCCCAGATCTGACCCCCCCCTGTTCTGGGCATTTTTGACATGTTGAGAAATGCCCAGATCTGACCCCCCCCTGTTCTGGGCATTTTTGACATGTTGAGAAATGCCCAGATCTGACCTCCCCTGTTCTGCGCATTTTTGACATGTTGAGAAATGCCCAGATCCGACCCCCCCCTGTTCTGGGCATTTTTGACACATTGAGAAATGCCCAGATCTGACCTCCCCTGTTCTGCGCATTTTTGACATGTTCAGAAATGCCCAGATCTGACCTCCCCTGTTCTGCGCATTTTTGACATGTTCAGAAATGCCCAGATTGTGCTCTTTTGGCTAGCCATAACCTGGGTGTAACCAATACCAGGTTACAAATGTGCCCTTAGAATGAGTTGTTGTATTGTATTGCATTTTTCTTGTATTGTATTGTATTGTTCTTGTATTGTATCATTATCGTGTGGTATTGTATGGCAGTCTATCGTGTTTGTTATCCTTGACTTGACTATCGTATCGTATCTTATCGTATCCTATGGTATGGCGTTTCTTATCCTTGACTTGACCTGGTTGCTTGGTTGTCATAGTCTGTGGTGTGGTGTTTCTTATCCTCGTCTTTTGCTGTTTGTTGTTGTTGTAGTCTTGACTATTGTTTTGCTTATCCTTATCCTTGTCTGGGCTGATGCGTGGGTCAAGGTCAAAACCTCGTTTTGATTTTGCTTGATTTTTGCTTGATCTGATGCATAGGCTGAGGCGAAAACCTCGTTCAGACTTTGCTTGACTTTGCTTGATTTTTGCTATTTTTGTTGCTATCGTCTTGCTTGATTTTCCTTGATCTGAGGTGTAGGTTTGGGCGAAAACCTCGTCAGGACTGGGCTTCACTTTGCTTGATTTTTGCTTGATTTTGCTTGATCTGAGGCGAAAACCTCGGTTGGACTGGGCTTGATTTTGCGTGATTTTTGCTATTTTTTTGCTATTGTGTGGCTTGACTTTGCATGATCTGATGCGTAGGATTAGGCGAAAACCTCGTGCGGACTTGGGTTGACTTTGCTTGATTTTTGCTATTTAATTGCTATTGTGTTGCGTAGGGAAAGGCGAAAACCTGGTGCGGACTTGGGTTGACTTTGCTTGATTTTTGGGTTTTTTTGCTATTGTCTTGCTTGATCTGATGCTCTGATGCGTTGGTTAAGGCGAAAACCTGGTTTGGACTGGGCTTCATTTTGCATTATTTTTGCTATTTGTTGGTTGTTTTGTTGCTTGATCTGATGGGTAGGCGAAGGCGAAAACCTTGTTCAGACTTGACTTCATTTTGCTTGATTTTTGCTATTTATTGGCTCTGGCGTTGCTTGATTATATGCTGTTGTATTGCTTGTCTTGCTATGGTATTGTATTGTAGCGTATTGTATTCCTTATGCTTGTATTGCTATTGTGTAGTGCCAAGAACCGAGACACCGAGACGATACGTTTTTATCCGAGACGACGAGAAAGCTAACAGGGCGGGGGGGTGGGGGCAAGCTAAAATATTATTTGCCCTGGTTTTCCTTATCCTTGACTATTGTATCGTTGTCGTATGGTACGTTATTGTATAGTATCGTAGTCTATTGTATTATTATCGTAAGTTATCATTATCGTATCGTATCGTATGTTATCGTAGTCTATCGTGTTTCTTATCCTTGTCTTGACTATCACGACGTATCCTATGGTATTGCGTTTCTTATCCTTGACTTCCTTATCGTAGTCTTGACCATCGTGATCCTTATCCTCGTCTTTTGCTTGTTTTCTTGATTTTTTGCTATCGTAGTCTTTGACTATCACATTCCTTATCCTTATGGCCCAGGTCAAAACCTCGTTCACGCTTTGCTTGACTTTGCTTGATTTTTGTGTTTTTTTTTGTGTTTGTGTTGCTTGATTCTGCTTGATCTTGTCTGGAGTGATGGGTGGCGAAGGTCAGAGTTTTGTTCAGACTGGGCTTGATTTTGCTTGATTTGTGTATTTGATGCGTTGGCTGAGGACGAAACCTTGTTCAGACTAGGGTTTATTTTGCTGTATTTTTTGTATTTGATGGGTAAGTTTAGGCGAAAACCTCGTGCAGACTGGGCTTATTTGCTTGATTTTGCTTGATGGGTATTTAGGCGCATTGGACTGGGCTGATTTTGCTATTGTCTGAGGGTAAGTTAGGCGCAAAACCTCGGTCAGACTGGGGTTGATTTTTGCGGGATTTTTGGCTATTTTAGTTGCGAATGTTAGCTGCTTGAGTTTTGGTTTTTTTGCGCTGTTGAGTGTATTGTATTGTGTTGTGTTGTGAGGCGTGGCGAGGACGAAACCTTGGTCAGACTGGGCTTGATTTTGCTTGATTTTTGGTATTTTATGGCTCTGGTGTTGGATTATTTTGGCTGTTTTATTGGTATTGTAGTGTGTTGGTATTGTATTGGTTGTCTTGCTGTTGCATTGTGTAGTATTGTATGGTATTCCTTATGCTTGTCTTGACTATTGTATAGTACCTCTAACCGAGACACCGAGAGAATACGTTTTTATCCGAGACGACGAGAAAGCTAACGGGGGGGCGGTGGGTTTCTAAGCTTTAATGGGCGGGGGGGTGGGGGGATCTAAGATATTATTGCCCTGCTTGTCCTTATCCTTGACTATTGTATTGTTATTGTATGTTATTGTATGTTATCGCATATTGTTGTATGGTGGTCTATCGTAGTCTGTTGCGTTTCTTATCCTTGTCTTGACTGTCGTATTGTGTCCTATGGTATTGCTTTTCTTATCCTTGACTTCCTTATCGTAGTCTTGACTGTTGTGATCCTTATCCTTATCCTTGTCTTCTGCCTGTTTTGTTGATTTTTTTGCTGTGGTGGTCTTGACTGTTTCACTCCTTGTCTGGGTTGAAGCCTTGTTTGGACTTTGCTTGATTTTGCTTGACTTTTGCTGTTTTTTTTCTGCTGATGGAACGGTTGATCTTGTCTGGGGTGAAGGGTGGGGGAAGGCGAAAACCTTGTTTGGACTGGGCTTGACTTTGCTTGATTTTTGCTATTTTTTTGCTGTTGCGATGGGTAGGGAAAGGCGAAAACCTTGTTTGGACTGGGCTTGACTTTGCTTGATTTTCGATGCTTTTTTGCTATTGTGTCCCTTGATCTGAGGGGTAGGGGAAGGCGAAAACCTCGTTTGGGCTGGGCTTGATTTTGCTTGATTTTTGCTATTTTATGGCTCTGGGGTTGGTTTATTTTGGCCGTTTTGGGGGTATTGTGTTGTCTTGGTATTGTGCTGTATTTGTTGTCCTTGTGTTGACTATTGCGGTGTATTGTGATCTATTGCGGTTTTGTATTGTATTTGTATTGTATTCCTTATGCTTGGGTTGACTATTGTAGTCTATTGCCTTGCTTGTCTGGCTGTTGTATGGTACCTCTAACCGAGACACCGAGAGAATACGTTTTTATCCGAGACGACGAGAAAGCTAACGGGTGGGGGGGTGGGGGCGATTCAAGAATGCTGACGTATGGCGAGCCCTGATATCCTTATCCTTGACTATTGTATTGTTATCGTATTGTCTTGCGTTTTTATTGTATGGTGGTCTGTTGTGTTTGTTGTCCTTGACTTGACTTGGTTGTTGTGGGGTATGGCGTGGCGTGGCGTGGCGTTTCTTATCATTGTCCTTGTCTTTTGCTATTGTAGTCTTGACTGTTGTATTGCTCATCCTCATCCTTGTTTCAACTTTGCTTGACTTTGCTTGATTTGAGGCGTGGGGTGAGGCGAAAACCTTGTTTGTACTTGGGTTGACTTTGCTTGATTTTCGCTATTTTTGTGCTATTGTGTCGCTTGATCTGATGCGTAGGCTGAGGCGAAAACCTTGTTCAGACTTTGCTTGACTTTGCTTGATTTTTGCTTGATTTTTGATATTTTCTTGCTATTGTGTTGCTTGATCTGAAGCGTAAGCGAAGGCGAAAACCTTGTCAGGGCTGGGCTTGACTTTGCTTGATTTTTGGTATTTTTTTGGTATTGGGTTGCTTGATTTTGCTTGATCTGAAGCGTAGGGTGAGGCGAAAACCTCGTCAGGACTGGGCTTGACTTTGCTTGATTTTTGGCGTTGTGTTGGTTGATTTTGCTTGATCTTGAGGCGTAGGGTGAGGCGAAAATCTTGTTTGGACTGGGCTTGACTTTGGTTGATTTTTGCTTGATCTGAGGCGTAGGTTTAGGCGAAAACCTTGTCAGGACTGGGCTTGACTTTGGTTGATTTTTGCTTGATCTGAGGTGTAGGTCTAGGCGAAAACCTTGTCAGGACTGGGCTTGACTTTACTTGATTTTTGGTATTTTTGTTTGTATTGTGTTGGTTGATTTTGGTTGATGTGAGGGGTAGGTTTAGGCGAAAACCTTGTCAGGACTGGGCTTGGTTTTGGGTTCATTTTGGTATTTTTTTGGTATTGCATGGCTTGATTTTGCTTGATGTGAGGGGCAGGCTTAGGCGAAAATGTTGTTCAGACTTGGGTTCATTTTGGGTGATTTCTGCTATTTTTTTGGTATTGGGTTGGTTGATTTTGCCTGAGTTATTGCTGTTGTATTGCTTGTCTTGCTGGGGTATTGTATTGTGGTGTATTGTAGTGTGTTGCTAAGCTATCTAACCGAGAAGCGAGACACCGAGAGAATATGTTTTTATACGAGACAACGAGAGAGCTAACGGGGGGGTGGGTGGGGGCGGTCTAACATATGATTGCCCTGCTTATCCTTATCCTTATCCTTGACTATCGTATTGTTATCGTAAGTTATCGTATTGTAGTCTATCGCGTTTCTTATCCTTGACTTCCTTATCGTAGTCTTGACTATCGCGTTTCTTATCCTTGACTTGCTTATTGTGTCGTAGTCTTGACTATCATGATCCTTATCCTTGTCTTTTCCTTGTTTTCTTGATTTTTTGCTATCATAGTCTTGACTATCGTATTCCTTATCCTTTTCCTTATGGCCCAGGTCGAAACCTCGTTCAGACTTTGCTTGACTTTGCTTGATTTTTGCATTTTTATCGGAGTAGTTCCCACGGTTGAATTGCTTTCATAATGCCCAGAATTGACCTCCCCTGTTCTGGGCATTTTTGACATGTTGAGAAATGCCCAGATCTGACCCCCCCCTGTTCTGGGCATTTTTGACATGTTGAGAAATGCCCAGAATTGACCTCCCCTGTTCTGGGCATTTTTGACATGTTGAGAAATGCCCAGATCTGACCCCCCCCTGTTCTGGGCATTTTTGACATGTTGAGAAATGCCCAGATCTGACCTCCCCTGTTCTGCGCATTTTTGACATGTTGAGAAATGCCCAGATCCGACCCCCCCCTGTTCTGGGCATTTTTGACACATTGAGAAATGCCCAGATCTGACCTCCCCTGTTCTGCGCATTTCTGACATGTTCAGAAATGCCCAGATCTGACCCCCCCCTGTTCTGGGCATTTTTGACATGTTGAGAAATGCCCAGATCTGACCTCCCCTGTTCTGCGCATTTTTGACATGTTCAGAAATGCCCAGATTGTGCTCTTTTGGCTAGCCATAACCTGGGTGTAACCAATACCAGGTTACAAATGTGCCCTTAGAATTTTTTTGGTATTGTGTTGGTTGATTTTGCCTGAGTTATTGCTGTTGTATTGCTTGTCTTGCTGGGGTATTGTATTGTGGTGTATTGTAGTGTGTTGCTAAGCTATCTAACCGAGAAGCGAGACACCGAGAGAATACGTTTTTATACGAGACGACGAGAGAGCTAACGGGGGGGTGGGTGGGGACGGTCTAACATATGATTGCCCTGCTTATCCTTATCCTTATCCTTGACTATCGTATTGTTATCGTAAGTTATCGTATCGTAGTCTATCGCGTTTCTTATCCTTGTCTTGACTATGGTATCGTGTTTCTTATCCTTGACTTGCTTATCGTATCGTAGTCTTGACTATCGCGTTTCTTATCCTTGACTTGCTTATCGTATCGTAGTCTTGACCGTCGTGATCCTTATCCTTGTCTTTTGCTTGTTTTCTTGATTTTTTGCTATCGTAGTCTTGACTATCGTATTCCTTATCCTTATCCTTATGGCCCGGGTCAAATCCTCGTTCAGACTTTGCTTGATTTTGCTTGATTTTTGCATTTTTATCGGAGTAGTTCCCACGGTTGAGTTGCTTTGTTGAACCCTTCGATTTCGAGTATTTTGCTTATAATTCATTAGGATCTTATCCTATTGATGTCATTAGACTATGGATGGACTCCCCTTGACGAGGGCTACGACATTGGTTTTCATCAATTAGTTGATCAGGTATTAGCTTACATAATGTCTTTGTCTTGTCATGGAGTCGAGCCTCCGATGGAACTGTTCCAGTGGAGATCATTGTTGTTGACACCCTGGTACTCTGTGACCCTCCAGTGGAACGGTTCCAGTGGAGATCATTGTTGTCGATACTCTGGTACTCTGTGACCCTCCAGTGGAACGGTTCCAGTGGAGATCATTGTTGTCGACACCCTGGTACTCTGTGACCCTCCAGTGGAACGGTTCCAGTGGAGATCATTGTTGTCGATACCCTGGTACTCTGTGACCCTCCAGTGGAACGGTTCCAGTAGAGATCATTGTTGTCGATACCCTGGTACTCTGTGACCCTCCAGTGGAACAGTTCCAGTGGAGGATTATATTTGTGAAATGTCTTGAAACGACCCCTTCTTAACCATGACCCATATAGAAAAGTGCTATATAATCGACAGAGTTATGCTTCGAGGACGATTTGAGGAGGGCGTATAGTTCCTTCAGATAATGACAGTGCTGCGGATGCAGAGGCACGTCGAAGTTATCGATGGGTTGGCAAAGATGACGAATGAGGAAGATGATGAATCTGGACATGAAATTGGCGTATCGTTCGAGCGTGGGGTCTTCCTGTGGACGGCGAAATGGTGCTTTCTCCGTGTCACCAGACGGGCTGGTGGACACAAGGGCCCGAAGAGTAAGCGTTGATAGTCGTCCGAGGTTGGCTGCGATGAACCTGTAGTAGCTTTGCGTTTCCTGGATGAGGTAGTCGAACTCAGGTTGGTTTTCAGGCTTCAAAGCCGTTTCGCGGAGGCACTTGAGGTCGACGTTCTTGATACACTGCTCCCAGTTGGTCTGGGCTAAAAGGGGCCCCCTGGGACGCTTGTTGACCGCAGGCTTGTATGTGGTGTCCCTAGTGTACAGCCCACATTTTTCAACGTGGGCGAGAATGGCCCCGAGGGCATCCGTGTCCGTGATGGAGTGGCAGTTTGCTACCTCGATGTACGACATCAGGTGCTTACTGACACCAATCTGGTGACCGTTAGTGATGGCATGGAAACGAAGCGCCAGTGGAGGTTTTCCGTGAGCTATAACGCAGTGTTTATGAAATGATTTCATCGACGTGAACAGTGTAGTGGACGTGCAACGTTCGATGGTGCACTTAACTAAGTCGGGTATGATGCGCATACCATCTAGCGGCGGGACTGGACTAGTTGGTAAACGCTTGGGGAGGTGGGCACCTAGCCTGCGAAGGGTGTTCAAGACGCTCGTCTTGGATGGGAGCGATTTATTGGAAGTGCCGGCGGGCTTATGGTGTGAGCGCCGGTGACCATACACATGCTCCCATGGAATGCTAATGCCACAATCGAGGCAGACGGTGAGTTTGAATTTGGGTTCGACATGGATGCCCCATGTGTGAGCAAATGCTCCGAGTTCGGCAGGGCCACTATCTTTGTCGATATCCATCGAGGGATCAGCGTCATGTGGATCGTTAGGGTCATCGTCATCTCCGGAATCGACTGGTCCGATATCGCTCTCGCCGGCAGAGTCGAGCTCTTGATAATCAGCGCAGTGGATTTGTGCGCCGGGGATTGTTGTAGTGTGGCCGACAGTCGTCAAGGACGTGCCATTGAACGTACGGGTTAGAGAGAAGGACGTGGCTTGGTGTAATGCTTGAGAGCGAGTATCAACAGCCGCACGTATTGAATTGACGGGGGGGTGAGTGGTGGGTAATGGTTCGGCGTCAATCTTCGTGTCTTGAAGAAGGGGGGCCTCAACGTAGTTGGGGGATTCTGCAGAATCGTCATGGTAATTCTGTGTGGAATCCGTATTGACGTCAGGGACGTGCACAGGCTCTTGAGCGGCGCATGGATCTGTTGTTAGGTGTGATTTTTGAGCGGAAAGCTGTGAGTTAACGAGGGAGTTTACCTTCATCTGGGTCCATACAATCCAACGCTGCATCGTCAGGGTGCGGGGTTTTTGATAAAAGCTTGACGAATCGGTGGTAGTCGTATCGTGCATGATCGTATCGTCCGCATGGGCAATGGAAGCGCCCATCTGGATGCCTCGATATCTTCACTGTGTGTATAAAGGTGAGTATATGCGGGCGAATTGCAAGAAAGATCGACGAACACGTTTCCCCTTGCCATGAGACATTGATGAAGGCGCTGTGGTACTTGTTGGCATGGGTCTTTTCTTTTTCCCCGGCATGGTAATTGGGACGAGGGCATCCTAACTTTGTACAACTGATGAAGGTGAGCTGCCTAACTCCAAGGCTTAGGCGTAACGCACTGTCTAACCATTGCTCTATGCGAGGTCGGGATCACAACTAAACTGGGCAACGCGTATGTTCATAAACCGAGTTGATGCGTAGAGAGCTTACGTGGATATTGGTAGCCAGAGCGTTGCAGTTATGATTGCGCTAATATACAGCTCGCTAATGCTAAGATGCATTTTAAACTCCGAAACCTGATATGGCGATGTACCACTCAACGGACAAAGGGAGTCGTCGACTTGGTGTGCGTGAAATAAGCCATTGAAATTGAGCGCATATATGAATGCTGACAGCGTTTACGTCGATGGTTCAGCTGGCTGACGCTAGCGTGAACGTTGAGGACAGCGGTGTTGCAGGAAATCCAGGGTGGTGATTTGAACAGGTTTCAGTCAAGTGTTGGCGTTGTTGGCGTTCATCCAGCTTGAGACTGGCAAGCGTTGGCGTTTGTTGACATGGGATACTGGCAAGCGTTAGCGCTGGTCAGGAGACTTAGAACGGTTTGGTTGGTGCTCGACGAACGTAGGGTGTGATGAGCGTTAACGCTCATCAGGTGCACCAAGCGTTGACGCTTGTCATGTGTTGGAATTATGTATCGACGTGCAAGAGTTGAGGTGGTGAGTGCTTGATGAAAATAATGGATGTAGTGTGACTAAGCACGGCACGTGACTAGAACAGACCGTAGCGATCCCTTCCTTGGAAACCTCCTGTTTGTGCCTTACCTTCCTCGTGTAATTCGCGAGGGATGTCACTGTCGTGATCCTCATAGCACATTTCCTTTCTCGTATTTATCACATGCATTCACATAACATATAATAGGCACCGTCTCGCTGCTTGGTCTCCCGCCGTTCCTAATTATGGTCTCTTTAGCGTGACCTGTCTCTTAGGTACACACAATTCCTAGTCGTTGTCTCTAGCCCTGGTATGCTTATCTTCCAACATTATAACCTGTTTTTTACGACCTATAGCGGTATGTTTGCCAGTATGGTTATTCAAGTATGTTATTTGCCTTTCAATCTTTGATGCACGCTCAGTAAACTTATACAGGTTTCTATCTTGACTAATCGATATCCGCCTCCGGTCCACCATGTGTTTCTGGTTATGTCAATTTCAGGCAACCTGGGTGAGTATCTTCATTCGTTCGATTTGCACATTTTTAATTTGAATTGTAACAAGCTTCGCGACTGCATCACCGGCGCTCTTAGCGAGTCGTGTATTCTGTGAATCACATATCTAAATTGTTGGTGGTCCATCGGCGATTTGATTCGCGTATCCAAATTGTCGGTGGTCCATCGGCGTTTTGATTCGCGCATCCAAATTGTCGATGGTTCATCAGCGATTTGATCATTCCTTTTGTACCGGCAATGCGTCCTTGTACGGCGGTCAGTCTACTCGGGTACTTAATCACTCCAAATCACAGGAGTGGCAGGAAATGCTGCATTGGTCGCTGATGAAGAAAGCGATGGACATTTGGATTGAGAAGCAGTCCATCGTAGAGACGAAACTATGAGATACGGTGAGGTTGATGCAACGCCAAAGATGAAAATAACTACTTGTTCCCAGATCTGGCTGACCCCAGACGCGATTGGGGGCCAAGTGCGATTGACTCGAAAGTCGTTTGCGGCATGAGAGAACCGATCAACATGAGACTGACCCTAGCAGGATGTGAGTGTTCTGTAGGTTTAGTTGGACCAATCTGTAGGCGATATGACTGATCCGTCCGCAGGGGAGTGGATCATGCTATATACACGATTCTGTTCCTCGAACAACGATTATGTATGGCTTATATTAACATAAATGCAGAAACGTAATATTTAATGTGCCCTCCGTGATCTCCATCGTGAAGTTGCAAGTGCTAGTCTAGCTAAGCATACGTCGTCAACGAGTAGTTTTGCAACTACCTAAGCTACCTTCGCTACAGCCTACAGAGTGGAATTAGTTCCTGCGCTTGCTCGGGTTTGTAGGTGTTGTAGCCCATGGGCCAGCGCAGGGTCTTAATCCACGTCTCCATGATGTGGGGTGTCCATTGGACACCGTTGAGTCTCGTGCCGTGGCGCAACATGGCTACAATGTCAGTGGGGTCATCTTTCTTGTAGCGTACGAGCTTGAGAGCAACACGCCCTAACATGGTGACGCTAATGACAACGAGACCTTGCGATTGATAGACGGTGTTCATATCAATGTTGTTCGCCTGCTTGGAGTCGTGGTAGATGGGGTCGTATAACTGCCCTTGTGAGCTGAAGGAGGATCGTGAGATGTGTGGTGGGCAATCGTGGAGTGACTCACTTGTGGGCAAATGGGAGGGCTACATCAGGGTCTGCATTCATCCAGTCGGTGCTATGAGGTGCATGGATCGATAAATGCATTGTGTGAGATAAGGTAGAAGGATTCGCATACCCAATGTAAAACTTGGCGGCAACAGCATTGATGCAACGCTGTAAGCGCTCTTCAGCGTCATAGACCCCTCGCTTCCGCCACTCATGCCCGAATGCACGACGTATATAGTCAATATCTCTGGTAGTTCGTCGACGACTGGATGTGGAGAGGTTTGGGTGTAGGATCATCACTGCGCCACCATGGATGAATAGGCGGATTTGGCAACCGAACTCTTGAAAGACGAGTATGGAAAGTTCAGCGAGGAGGGTGCAGAAGAAATCTTTTGAGAGCTGGACCTCATTGTGTGACGACGGGGATGAGGACATGGGTGTGTGCTCTACGCACTTTCAACGCTAATCGTTTTGTCAACCACCGATTATAGTCCGTTTGAATTGGAGGCGCACGCCTACATACCTCCGAAGATGTCAGACTGGTCTGGTGTAGCAGCACTGTTGGGAATTCAGTTTCGGTTAAGTTCGGCAGAGAAATTAACCTGTGCAATGCGAGTTGCTCACCTGCACGCCTTTGGCTCGTGTGAGTCCCACACGATATGAAACTAGGTCAGTTTTCAAAAAAAAAGACGACAGGAAGATAAGATTTGAAAATATGAGGCGTAACTGTACATGTTATGAGAACGAGTCTGTAGAGTAGAAGAAGAAAAAGAACCTGTTGAAAGATACGATCTGATAACTGAAATGAAGAAATAAGTGGGGCAGAGGGAGAAACGGGAGTGCAGAACGTCGGGTTGGAATGTGAGAACTTTGAATATGGCTCTGTAATACAATGAGCGTTAATAAACTAGGTATCAAGGGGACATGGTAACGTCCAGTTGCACGTAGCACTGTGGGGTAGCAGTAGAAAATTGTGAGTTCAGAGAGTGCATTACGAAAGAGTTATGAACTCAACTGTACATCCTCCACCTCCCTAGGCACCCAGGACGGCGCTGAGGCCATAACGCAAGAACGAGAGCTCCGGGCGGCGTAATTCTTGGTGCGGGGTAATTGTAGGATACTGTAGAGTAGGATAGCATAAAAATTAGTTTGTGGAGTGCGCTGAAAAAGAGTTACGGACTCAACTGTACATCCTCCACCTCCCTAGGCACCCAGGACGGCGCTGAGGCCATAACGCAAGAACGAGAGCTCCGGGCGGCGTAATTCTTGGTGCGGGGTAATTGTAGGATACTGTAGAGTAGGATAGCATAAAAATTAGTTTGTGGAGTGCGCTGAAAAAGAGTTACGGACTCAACTTTACATCCTCCTCCTCCCTAGGCACCCAGGACGGCGCTGAGGCCATAACGCAAGAACGAGAGCTCCGGGCGGCGTAATTCTTGGTGCGGGGTAATTGTAGGATACTGTAGAGTAGGATAGCATAAGGATTAGTTTGTGGAGTGCGCTGAAAAAGAGTTACGGACTCAACTTTACATCCTCCACCTCCCAGGCCACCCAGGACGACGCTGAGGCCATAACGCACTAACGAGAGCTGCGGGCGGCGTAATTTTTGGTGCGGGGTTATCGTTGGGTACGTCCTAAGCACCCTGACGTGTGCCGAGGTCGCCAGGGGTCGTGGTGAGAGGATAGCAGGCTCGAAAAAAGTCTGGAAGGTGTGGGAAGGTGTAGTTTTGGTTGAAGGCAAAATGTAACATAGATTCAATTATTTCGAACCGGACTTTGGGGCGGGTAATGCAGAATTTCAAGGGCTATAAGATGGCGTAAATAGTTCGATATGAATTGTGGAAGGAAGGGCGTGAAAAAAAGAAACTTGGAGAAGCTGCGCTTCTAACAGAAGCGCCTTCCGCATATAGATAGAAAAGTGCTATATAATGTGCCCTTAGAATGTACCAGCCCACCAAAAGATATTTTTTCACAAGTTTGAAACCTATTTCTAGTTTGACCATATAAGTCAGGCAGCCTGGAAATGTTGGTGTCTGATGAGTGTTAGGCAAAAATTGGTGCTGCAAGCATTGTGGAGGGCACATGAGACTCGTCGCAGCACCGATCGCAGCACGCTGCAGCACCCTATTTCCATATATGCAGTAATACATCATTATAATCTCATTGCATTGCATGCGTGTTCACATTTGACACGACTGTATAATACAAAAACAAGTCGCAGTGGGAATGTCGACACCAGAAAGCGACAGTCTGACTCGTCGCAGGGGTCTTCAAAAGCTTACGTTCATTATTGCTCTGTCTCAACAAGTATGCCTTGAATTTATTTAGCGGCTGCCAGTGCCCCATCGACGATTTCCGTCATTTTAACGATCGCCTCTTCCTCCAGAGTGCGACCCACGAGTTGCAGGCAAATCGGTGCGTTCTTGAATGTCTCCGGGTCATCTGAATTAATCGTCGGCCCATATAGAAATCGTTGGGTGCTAGTGAGTACTCACACATGTCGTAAATACCCTTATCAAAGTCGTCGTAAAAAACATGGCGAGGCTTCTTCACATCTAGAGTGGGGTCAACAGTGGTCACAGGGAAAGTCGCAGCGGGATAATCGAGCGCATTCCAAACTGTGGTGTAATTAGTGTATCTGCACATCGTTTCTCAATGATAGTCCCCCACTCCGGAAAGTACAGACTGACCTGTTCTTCCCATGGGGGGTTGCTGCATACGATGAGGCCGGACAGATGATAGCATCGACAGGCCGTCCGGTGCCAGTCTCTGACACCGTTGCTTCCCAGTGGTCCAAATATTCTTTCCGGATATCTCCGCGCAGTTTCTGTACTTGCCAGAGCTGGTATGCGGTGATACCAATCTTCTTCGGACGGAAGGGTGCTGCTGCAACATTAGAGCTATCTAGTTCCATCGTTGCAATTATTGGTTCCCCTGTAACGGAGGTCGTGATCATGTAGTCTTCCGCGGAAGCGGCATTCCAAATGTTCCGCTGCACAGCGCTGCTAGGTCGATAGGCAGTACAATTATAAAAACATAACTCCTTACCGTGGTATCTGCGAGCAACCTATGCTTTATGGGCTTCCAGTCAACAACTATCGCCAAATGAGTATGATTCAGCGGAGGAGTTACACGAGAAAAACCTTTGTGGCCCGCCTTCTCTAGAGCCGCTTTGGTGATTTCTAAAGACCTCCTGATGGGCGGGTGGGGTACGACGACGCCATCATCCCACATGATCGCAAAGCATAAGTCCTTGCCAGATCCATGGTCTGCGAGATTGTACTCGTCTTCTTGCCATTTCTTCCTAACCGCAAGAGGATCTTTGAGCCATGGTTTGGCATTGACAACAGCTTTCATGAAGGCTTTGACCCCGCCGACACTATTTGTCATAGGACCAAATACAGAGTGAACCGAATCCTGGCCCTCAAGGGAATTGAGGGCACCACAGTACGGCACACGTCCGTATGACGGTCGCAGGCTGTATAAGCCGCAAAATGCGGAGGGAATACGAATAGAACTGTGGAGAAGGCGTCAGAAGGTTTCTACCAATCGTAGTTCCGAACCCCTTCCTACCCCCCGATATCAGAACCCACCCCCAAAGGGCTTCCTTTCAGGGCAACCAACGCGCCCTCTCCTCCCGAGGACCCGCCAGGGGTCAGAGAGCGGTTATATGGGTTAGTTGTCCGGCCGAAGATATTATTGAAGGATTCTGGCCACTGAAGATACCTTTAGCCCCCAAGTAGCAACATGGATCATTTCATTTTGAAGATGTGCTCACCATGACTGTCTGCGGAAGGTTGGTTCGAACGAATGGCACAGCTCCGCACTCGATCAGAACGTCGACGAGTACTGCATTTTTCTCTGCATACCGCCCAATCCACGAGATATAACCTAATACCAGTGACTCGTAATTTGTCGGGGCCAGGGAATCATCGACCATTACTTACCCATGGTAGTTTCTAGTCCCTTGATACATATTTGATCCTTCAGAGAGACTGGCAACCCATGGAGGGGACCAACGACCTTCCCTGTCTGTTTAAAGTGATCATCGAGTTCAGCCGCCCGGGCTAATGCGCGATCAACAAAGATCTCCGTCAAACAATTGACCTTGTCAGCCAGTTAATACACACTCGTCAAGCACATGTCCGCGTAAATTGGCTCACAAGCTGGTGAGCGACAATAGCTCTCTTGTAGAACGCAGTGGTAACGTCTATAGCTGTCCATTCGCCACACGCAAGTTTCTTCAACAAAACGTCCACCGAAGTATTGGTAATCTCAATTTCTCGTGCAGTTAGAAGGCCGCACGTCTCCGGGAAACCAGTCACGTCCAAAGTAGAGTCTGGGGGAGGGGATACAAGCCACTCTTGTGGAATAGACTTGAGCTGCCTCTGCTTCTTCTCTGCAGCAAGTTCGGTCCAATGCGGCATGTCGTTCGGGAATGGAGTGGGACGAGGGCAATATCGAGGCTGGACACTTCACAAGAGATAAGACGGACAGGTTGATAAAAGGCTCTCCGCGCCTGATATTAATAACGTTAGAGATAAGAATTTCAAAGAACACTGATAGCAATACCCGAGAAGCCTCTCGACTTCCTTCGCTGGTGGCTGCATGATGTTTGAGGGTAAGAAACTGCAGCGGACTCGGATGCCGAGCACCCTCTTCAATATGCTCAGCCTGGGTCACTGCGCTCACTGGCAGGCTGGCAAAAAATATCAAAGACGGAGATTAGGCTTGTGACAACTCGCAACATACGACTGCATGATGTGATTTGGCCGGTAATGACGCAGTCGGACGGGCATCAGAGGTCGACCTAGGTTTTAGCAGCATGATCATCATGCTCGGTAGCTTGAGGTGAGGCAGCAAGAACCTCGATTCTCAATAGCGAGCGGCGGCTGAAATTCAATATGTGGAGGTCCGCTTCGAATGCGTGATCTGCTCATCTTTGGATCGCCCCAGACCTTTACCACAGTAACATTATTGAAGCCTTTGAAGGCAAGAGTGGGCGGAATGGCCCGGAACGATCTCTCTTTACGTAAATGTAAGTACTTCAAAGCTTCACCACGGGTCCACGACAGTAACGGCGGCAGTGACAATCTAAGCTTGAGCTTGAATACTGCATACTTATTGCAGTTGGCGATGCAGTAGACATTCTAGTCGGGTACCATTGAGTCATGCAAACATTGCGTGATGTAAGTACGAAATTGGGAATTGGGTACCAAGTGGTAGAAGTTCGATACCACACTCAGGAGGTTACTGTGGAGCCAGCGTCTATTTCATTCCACAAAAATCGATCGTACAAGAATTAGTTACGGCAAAGATACCTGTGAGGTGCCCTTGTCACGGTGGGTTCCTCCAACAAAACGAGCTAATTTCTGCAGCAAAATCGTGAGGAAGCTTCGCTGATCTTTGATAGTATCAGCGCCCCACGCCTTGTGAGGTGTCTGCGAACAATGGTCTAGGATGCATCTGCAGACATCTTCGTAGGACTGTGCACGACGCTGGTGAATATCCGAGGACCCCGTGGGTCCATCCTTCAGAGTTGTGACACAAGCATATCCAGAGAATTGCATTCCATATGTCGCAAGCTCGTCCTTGTTTTTGTTCCACCACTCTGCCATCATGGGACGGAAGTCTTCCAGGCATGTCACCACAACAATAGTGGGCACTTTGCTATCATGGATGACTGCAGAGAATATTTTGTAGTGGGTCTGCAGAGCCTTCGTTGCTCGCGTTCCGCGCACACAATATATAAGAAGATGGACACCGTCTTCATGGTTTAGACCTTGGAGGAACGCGATCAAGTTCCTTTCAGCTATCACCGCAGGCACAGTGCCTTCTGAGCCTTCGTTTAACCCTGACGACATGATCATCAAGTCGTTCTGGACCACAACCTTAAATGTGAAAGAATACATACCCGCTGTATCCCACAGCCTGAAGCATTGCCCGCTGATTGTCACATCATACGGAGCATGTGTAGTAGTACACGCGAGGGCGTCAGGAGATGTTTTCGCTGCATCACGACCCATGATAAGGTTTATGAGCGAGCTTTTGCCCACACCACTCTCTCCATAGAGAACCACGTTACGCGGTCGACCTTGATACCCCTACAGACATCGACATTAACCACATCCATTGACCGATCTCGCAGATCACGAACCTGCTGTGAATATGTACTCCTTGTGTCTGCTGCACTTGTCATGTCTGTGGAGCCGTAGCTGTCAGACATCTTCTCTGGTAGACCCGATTAGTCTTTGCAAAAAGATATGAGCACAAGCTTACTTCACTTGCGACCCGGTAAGTCTATTAGAGAGATGGATAACGGCTGCTAGACATTTAAGTAATTGGTTCTGTGGCAAGCGCTTTCGGCCAGAACCAACGTGTTGCACCCTGTACCACGGCGATGAGGGCTGCAATGTGGAATCATCCGATGAAAGAACACATGAGGGCTTCGACATCAAAACGTGGCGAGCATTGAAATAGCTGGATTCCTTTTTGGAATCGTATGGTAGGCATGGCTTGTGCATGCCCGTTTAGACCCTGGCATTCGCTACAGTTTTATTGCAAATATTGAGTGTCGCCGTCGGCTCGCCGAGAGATCGATCAAGGAAGCTGGCTACCAGCATTTGGGCGGCTTCCCTGTTGGGCGTTTAACATTTGAGATAAAAGGATGATGTAAAAATTATGAAAACGCACCGAGGGTGCGTGGTTCCACCACCTTTCGCATCATATATACCAGTTACAAATAGGATCATTCTGGGGCAATTGCCATTGAACGGCACAGCGCAGAATCACCACAGTACACAGGTACGAGTAGCGCTATATTCAACTTGAAGGGTCGAATATCACTGACTGCAAGCCTAACATAAGATGGCGCCGACTCGGAACATCGTTATCTTTGGAGAAACAGGAGCAGGCAAAAGCTCCGTTATCAACTTGATGGCTGGCCAGCAGATTGCGCACATATCGCCCGACTCTCACCGCTGCACTCTGCATTGGACGGAGTACCCACTAACCTTCGAAAATGGGATTCGATACAAGGTGTTTGATACGGTCGGCCTCGAGGAGCCCCGTATAGAAACCAAAGACTACCTCACTGCGATTTCAAACGCATATGGCCTCATCAACACCTTGAAAGAACGTGGAGGTGTCGACCTCTTACTCTTCTGTATACGTGGAGGTAGAGTGACGGCAACCATGCAGAGCAACTATAGGTTGTTCTTCGAATTTCTCTGCGAGGAAGAAGTCCCGCTCGTGCTAGTCGTCACAAACCTCGAAAGAGAGGCAAATATGGAAGACTGGTACACGCGGAATGTGGGCCACTTGGAGAAGCATAACATCAGGTCCGCGGGACACGCATGCATAACTGCGGCGAATCTTCTCGACGGGAGACATAGAGACAAGTATGAAGAGTCGCGCGGAATACTCCGTAAAGTGGTTGAGGCTCATTGCAATGCATCCATGGAAGGGTGGACCGGTGGACAAGGATGGCTTACTTCGTTCATCAGCAAGCTCGTGGAATTTTTCGTTGGACGTCCCAAAAAGACGGATATAATAGGGATTCTCACAAAACGATGTGGAATGACCAAGGAGGTGGCTCGGCAGGTAGTGCAGCATATTAGAGACGAGGTTCCGAGTCAATCGTAGGATAATCTCGGACTTGTCACTATGATCGGGCATACCACTACTACCATGACAATGACCTTGCAGTGTAACGTTCCCTGGCACGTAGTGGTAGTAGTAGTACTTAGCTAGCGCACTTCATTGAATTATGCAACAGTGGGAAGATCGAGAATATGACAAGAATGAGCAAGTACGACATAGTACTTCAATGTTATATCTGAAGCTCAAGGGCACACAACCAGCTAAAGCCTCGAGACAAAATCAGTAAACTTCTCAAGCTCAGGTCGATAGATTGTTACATACCTCAATCCGACAAACTTCTCAGCACATCCACCAGCTCCACTTGCACCTTCTCAATCCTTGCCGCTTGTTTTTGCGCTTCTCCTGAATTGTGCATTCTCAACATTGTCCGCACTTCTCTCACGAACGCGTATGATTGTATTGTTGACTCTTCGACCCCTTCAACCTCTGTCGGGGCTTGTGAAGACGGTAGATCGTCAGCAATCAGGGCAGAGAGGTCTACAGAAGAAGCACGCAGAAGAGCAAGGTCTCGTAGGGTGTCGCGAAGAGGAAGAGGTGTTCCTTTTGATGCCATGATCAGAGTCCAAGCAAGCTACTTATGCGGTCGTAAGTTTTGACTTTCTGAGCGCAGAGCACGTGAGCAAACGCCAGCACTGGAGCCTCCGAAGTGTGACACTGAATATTCAATATCATAATATGTGAACCAAATCGTAATACAGAACAAGCGTCACAAAGCAATCAAAACTATGTCCTAGGCGGAGAAGTTGCGTACGCGAACAAGTCCATAGAGTCATCGGAAGGCAACGTAGTCGCAGATCGGTAGACAGATAGTTTCCGAGATAACGAAGGCCGTGATTGTTTGGAACTGGACAAGATGCTGGTTGTAGAAGGTTTAGGATCGTGTAGATTAACCCTGTTCTTTTGGGCGTCCATCAGAATTGAAGAGAAGTTGGAGTGGCGCGGTCTGAGTGCTGGTCGACGTTTCGCCATGGGCGAACTTGGCGTTAGGTTCTCTTTCTCGTCTTCTCCACCCCACCAAGGATGATCATTTGAGTCTTCCGCAAAGTACTCGCTTCCCCGCGAGGAAGGCGAAGAAAGACAGTCGCAAGCCCTGGATGCGGTAGATCCCATTGCAGACCCTGCGGATTTGTGTGGAACAGTGACACGAGAGGAGCCCTGGGTCGTATATCGATGAGCGCCTCTGCGCAACAAACGTTTAATGAAAACAGGGCTCTGGTGCAAAACAACGTGTGCAATCTTCCCCTTTTTCTTCACATGAGCAGGCGTCTTGCGGATCCAGCAGCCAACCATTTCCTCCCACTCCCATTCTCCACTCGGTCTACGATGGTGCGCGCTGCGGGACCTCTTGCTCTGTCCTGGTAGCCGAACGGCTGGGCTGCTATCGGGTAGACCAGTTCCAAATAACCGGCGCTCAGCCTCGTCCACACCATCAATCAAGAGAAACTTGAATCTCTGAATCTCTTTTGAGGTACCTTTCGGGGTGCTCTCGAAGACACGAAGGGCGCAGGCCCACAGGGAGGCGTCCAGCTGTAGTAGCTTGTGGGTTTGCAAAGCCGACGAGGATTGCTGTAGCGATGTCATAAAATCTTGTGCGGAACCTCGATACATATGCTCAATAAGGCGAGTGAGTGTTGTAGGAATAGGTGAAACGTCACGAAGCAGATCCAAGAGAGATGAATCATAATCCGCTAGTGAACATGTAATATGAAGGTGCGTGGCGAGTATCGTGATTGCATCAGGAAGTTCGTCTTGAGAAGGTTGAGGTGAAGCACCCAGTCTCAAGGTATGCATTCCGTAGTTTCGACATCGGTGGAGTAACAGAATGATAGAGTTAATGTCGGGACAGCGGGATTCATCTGCAAGTGCTGCAGAGGTACTAGCGGTGACTGCAAATAGCCTGCTCATCCAGTCATGCAAACGGCAGCGAATAGCCACAATATCTAGCGTTTCCTTCTCCTTCCCTTTTCCAGACCGCACCGGGTAATGATAATGTATGGTTTCAACCAGAGAATCCAGAAGAGTAACAAAAGAGTCGATATCAGTCACCTCGACACTGCGAGAGAACCTAGCGACCGCTTTACATGCCCATAAAGAGATATTTGATTGAGCTAGAGTGTTTATAACCGCTCGTGAGAACGTCGAGACTGAGAATAATGGAATGGCATCAGAAGGCACTGTGTCGCTGTTTCCGGATACCCATCGAGCGAGAAGATCAGCAAGGTAGGAGACATGTCCTGGGTGTGTGATTGGAGGAGGAGAGGTGGTGGACAGGAAGGCAATATTAAGGATCATGCTGAGCAAACGACGGGATTCGTGAACTAGACCAAAAGACAAGCAGATATCCAGAAGAGTGCTGACAAGCGTGTGGTGGTGCGGACAAATTGCTAGCACAAGGAAAAGTGCATGAGACGCGATCGAATGTCTGCAGGGGAGACAATGAGACTCCGTAGATAGATGACCAGGCCCACTCACCGTCGATAGTAGGCTGGGATAGTGTCATAGATGTCTTCCACAGTTTTCATCAGCTCATCTTCATTTACCGTTTCCTCTTGGCCGTCAAGTGTTCCAGTGCCACTGAACGGAACGTTTTCTCCAACTACGAAGCAGCACATAGCTGCCAGGCTGGGGATTGAGTCTCCTGGCACCGTTCCGTGCGTGACCTGGAGGAGACATCGAAAAGCACCACAGACTGCGTATATCAAGCGAGAGAGCTCCAGGTCTTCTGCTCTGTCAAAATACAACCTGCCTCTAAGGGCAGAGGACGGTTGGGGAAGGAGGGCAAGTGGTGGAGGGGAATCAAGTGGCCAGTCTTGACTATATGGCAAGTATGTGCTACGAGACGCACTATGTCGAGTGGTGGACAACAACTTGCTCAAACTCAAGCATTTGTTGCGCAAAGGTCTCAGCAACCGGTTTATGCGTGACGTGGTGAGGTGGCTACCACTGGCGTCAGTCGCTGAACAAATTGTCATTGGCAGCTACCACAGTCTGCAGAATCCAGATGACAACTTTCGATGAAATGAGGTCTCTTTGTTGAACACTGTGCAGCTGGTCGTTTGGGGGTACGAGATTTAAATGTTTGATGTAGGAGTCGCGCGCACGAGGAAACCCCACGTGACCGGAAATCCCTAGAATTCACGTGATGGTACAAGTAATGGCGCTAGCAACACATAATACTTAGATGTCTGGGTATGGTAAAATGATTAATTTAAAAAAGAAAAGCGAAAGGACCGTAGCAGAAGGACGGTAAGGAAGTCCTAACATATTCCAAATGATTAAGCATCGCTGTCACTTGCATTACTATCGGACTCATCATTGCCCCAGACAGCAAAGGCGCGGGGATGATGCTGGTCGTAATCCCTCGAATCTACTCGGCGATGATTTCTGCGACGTGATGGCGTATCTGCCATGGTGGGAGTCTGAAGATTGTCGTCAAATTCCCTGTCCTTGGGAATGCGACTACGACCACTTGAATACTGCTCCCGAGAATGTATATCATCCCGAGCACCACGCTGAGCAACGTCCATGTTCGACAACGAGTCATCTGAAGAATTTGAAAGTACGGGAGAGGGCGTCCTTAATTGATGGTCAATGTGGTGGGAAACGATATGAGGCGGACGATGTGTGGGTCCAGCGAACCGTCCCGGAGTATCAACACCAGAATGCAGACCCGGCCTCGATCGCGAACGTGACTTGGCCGAACGAGAGAATTTGATGCGACGGCCTTGAGTGAGCGCAAGCGCAGCCAGTTCCGGTGTCGAGAGCAAATCTTCATCTGTCTGGGAGCCTGTTTCCTCACGAGCTTTTGCAATACCGACTGCAGCATCTCTAGCTTTTAACTCGTTCGGAATTTGAGTACCAGTACGTCCGCTAGTCGAAGCCTCGGGCGAGGAGTCATCAATGTCAAATTTGTCATCTTCATCGTCAGACGTTGTTTCATCCTCTTCATCCTCCAAATTTTCATCGAACATAACATCTTGCTTCGTTGTTTCAGGACTCCTCGTTTTCCCCGCGCTCGACTTCCGTGATGGGCCCTCTTCGACTACAACAAACGATTTTTGACGCTCGCGTTCATTCCATTTCAGGGTTCGTGAGATAGCATGGAACCAGTCAGTTGACTGTTTGTCCGCGCAAACAGTCGGGAAAGGGTATTTGGAAGCAGTTATTTTGATATGATCACCCTCTGCAAAAGAAGTAAGCGACCGAACGAAAAGTGGTATCTAATGACGAACGTTGCAGTTCCACACGGCCTCGGCCGTCGAAAGACACCCAAGCTGTGCTACGAGAATTATACGGGACACATATGCGGAGCTCCATACTGTCAGGAAGAAGCATGGGACGGAAGGATAGCGTGTGAGGGCAGATGGGACTGATGAGGATTGCAGGTATCTCGGGGTGAACCAAGGACCCTCCGGCAGATAACTACACCGAGAAAACAGTTAATATTGGTGACCGACCAATAGTGGTGAGAAGCCTACTGAATAAGCAGTGGAACCTGTGGGCGTGGCTACACAAAGCCCATCAGCTTGCACGGTTGTCATATGGTGTTCGTCGCCTTCAGAATGATAAACACATATGCCCCAAACATCGGAAGTAACGCACCAAATAATTCAAGCAAGCTGACATAGGGACTGGGTCCCCGGTCCACCACAAGATCGTTGAGAACCTCAAACGTCTCAACCGGTCTTGTTGTGAAGCACATGATCTCCTTGTCCCTCGAACACTTGCCACCCTCCGAGGTGGTAAATCCGCCAGACCAACCTCCTTCGAGTGCTTCCCATCCTCCTTTGTTTACGTCCTTCATCATGATTTCACCTGTTTCACCCTTTTTCACGGCCTTGCGGCCCTTTTCCTTGTCGAACACAGCACGGTAGACCGTACATGTAAATCGCATGCGTAGGTTGACACGAATACCCGAGTCGATGGCTGAGTCTACAACCGCTTGATAGTCAGCGAAGTCGAAATTAGTGAGAAAGCCAAGGGAGCCGAGTGCGAAAGGGAGAACGGGAGGAACAATTCGCTGAAAGAGCCATGACGTGAAAAGAACAGTGCCATCTCCTCCAAGCTAAGCATGTAAATGAGTGGACTCAACGAGACGCGTGAAGTGGGTCACTTACCGTAATGACAAAATCGAACAGATGTGGACTATTGCTGCACATATCACTAGTCCAGTATCGTAGCTGACCCTCCTGATGGGTGTTGAAATCATCTTGATGAGTGGATGACGATGATAAGGAAGAAAGAGAATTGCTGCTAGACGACCGTCTTCGTGGGAGAGGCTCAAACAATTCTGGATGATCTCTCTGTATGCCTTCGGTGTCGAACCTCCTCGAGTTGCGCAGTTGATGGTCTACATAGCTGGCGAAGTCCTCGTAAAACACCCTGAATGATATAGGGCTCAAAACTCACACAATAAGGCCTCGATCCCCTTGACGATGTTTAAGCATCAAATACAATGCAAGCTCACGCGTCAGTTTGATAAGGCGGTTATCTCTGGCCTTGGTTACGATGAGGACGCTCTGGATATTAGATCTTATTCGAGCACGTCCTGAAGAAGCATGGCTGTTGAGTGGATGGAAAATCTGAGAATAAGAACAGCACTCACCAAGCTGCTTACTCATTTCACGAACCCCGACTGCTGTCTCTGCCAACTGTTTCGTCAGGTTGCCGCCATACGTATCGCTGTCGTCATTTTCTGAGAATGCATGGCTGCCTCCATCAGGGCGGGGCAACTCAACGCGGTGTTGAGGCCGGTGATGTTGCTGGAGAGCCTTGGCAACTCCAACGTCTGAACCAAGTACCTCGTTATCCTTTCCATGGACTTCAAGCCAATCCTGTAGCGATGCTCCTTTATCTAGGTGTGAATGCACGAAGCAAGGTGACTTTGCAGACATGGGCATTGATAACAATGAACTGGGACTGCAGCTTAAGCTCGAGCTTGAAATTGATCTGGGCGATTCGATAGATGGAGGTGCCGCAAAGAAGTCGTGGCGAACTAGTGTTGTGGGATTATCACCTGGACTTATCCGTTGTGCCACTGCCTTTGCTCCTGAAGGCGATTGTTGCTCTACCAAAACGTTATGATGCCACATGATATTCGTATGGAGCGACGACAACGACGATAACAGCGACGGCCGACTATTTTTTCTCGATAACGAGGGTCGAATCACGTTTTCTGTGGGCATACCGTCCGCTCGTCCGTCTGCTGGCGAGGTTGGTGGAGTGGAATACGTCTCAACCTCTTCAGACATTTTAGGCCGCCAGATATACTGTGGTTGTTCTTCGGTGATTATTGGGCAACACAGCTGGGAAGTTAGTATCTCCTTTGATTCCCAAACGTCTTTACACTTTATATTTGTCCGCTTCAGGCTTTGCCCGTCTCGATAGTAGAAGTCTCCCAGACAACTCAGATATCGTCGCAGCCACCTTGATGGCTAATACGTCTTTCGACGGCACTGTCTATACCAGGATCTCCGTTTCCAGCATCGCTATTGGACTGTGACATAGGACATCATTTACATGACAAACGTGTTGCATATTCTTCTCACAACCGTTCTGACCTCTGGGACCCTTCACACCTAAATCTGGTACTACAGATTAGACGAGGCATCTCTTCCCATCTGAACATTCTGCGAGGAACACTTCCATCTGCGCGGGCATCCTTACTTGGTGTTCAGAGATGTCCAGGGACTCCGGGGCTGTCCGTTTGATCATCTCTGGTCATCACTATTTTCCTGTTTGATCATCAATCATTCATTCGGAAATTGCAGTCTAATCGTGATTGCGTAGGCACGGACCTGCTTACGCAGGAACTGCGTAATCATGGCCCAGGCGCTCCGTAGCACACGCAAACAATGTATAAGAGGACCTGGCTGGATTACTATAACACCGAATTGATTTCCCCGGACTACTCAGCAACGCTCACCCACGATTTCCAGGTGGCCATATTGCCATGACAAAGTTACGATTATACCTCTAGATGTGGCGGCATCTGAGTCTCAAGATTCTGAGTGAAGGATTGCAATTGGCTTATCAGAATAATCATGCTCGTCAATGCACATGGACACACAAGTCCTCCGTTGGTGATTTCGACGCCCGGATAGTATGTGTGACAGTGCTATGGTAACCGAGTTGGTCGTTCATGCTGCTAAACCGCGACTATAAAAGACTCTAAAAGAACACCGTACCCCGCAAAACAAATCTCTCCAGCTTTCTGTAATCTGGTCGGTCTTTGGCTACTGCCCAGAGCCAGATATCTAGTTCAGGCAATGTGATATCTTTCAGCCACGTTTGCTCCTCACTGTTTTGCCCATCTCCCCTTGCATATTCAACAATTTTCTCGCAAGCGCGTACGGCAGCCGCACGCAAAACATAGGCCTGCTCCGTCGTGAGTACAGGACCATCCTTCGGGGGTGTTTTCTTGGTATCTTGCGTAACAACCTGCGAAGCCTCAGGGGGTAAATGCAGGAGAGTGTTAATCTTATCTTCGCTCTCGGCACCAGGGAACAAATTATGAAGTCCGTGAGATGTTGCGCCAGTCAGGTCCAAAACTCCCAAATGGACCAAAAGGGACGGCAGAACGTTATCGGTGAACACGGGTGCCTGAGCTGTGCTGGGGATGGGAAACGGAGGCGAAGAACCAAAACGAATCTTCACTGCATGGATAAGAAAAAGTGCCTTTTTGAAGCAGTACACCGCTTCGATATTTTGATGAGCGCGAGGACAGTTTTAACTGTGATACGCCGCTACTCACGTTTCCCGTTAACAACCGCCATATCGCGGAAAGCTGGAATAGCTCTGACCAGCTAATTCAAAAGAGTTGATTATTCGGTTGTTGGGAGGTGTAAAAAATCGCGGCCCACCCTCTCCAGCACGATTCCAAGACTTGCACTAGGATCAGCCTTTGCTCCTTCCTTCAAGCTCTCCAAAACAAAGCCCCCTAATTCCGAATATCCTGCAGCGTCCAGGATCTGACCCGTCTCGGTTAGGGTTGAGCTGATCAGTTTCACCAGCTCATATATCGGTCCACCGAGTTCCCCGACCGTGACACCAGTAATCTTTTCATGAGGTCGCTCGACATGGATCGTGACACCCATGTGTTGTGCGACTTGCTGCTCACTCATCGTCTTCATGCCTTTCGCGGAAAGTAAATCTCCCTGTCCTGTCGCGGAGGACAGATAAAGAGAAAATGTGAACGCCCGTATATTATCCCATGCACCTCGTCCTGTCTGTTCATGAAGTGGCACTCGATAGCCGGAAGCGAAGTTGAGGAGAGAAAGAACAGATAAAAAGTTAAGCTCTGATAAGAGTGAGAAGAACTTAAGAGGGAATGCAAGCCCATGAGAGCCTGAGACACGATGAAACGATGATCGAAAGGACGGAGATTCCAGGAGGCGTTTGATAGCGGCATCTTCGACCTATAGTGGATCAACCAGTCAAAGATCGTTTGCAGAAATAAATTCATGACAGATCGACACAAAATCCGTGGGATAGAATGCAAGAACAACAACAGACATAGATGGTGGATCGAAGCGAAACACAAGGACGAAGCTGAATGCGGAGGAGACATATGTACCAGTCAAAAGCTCACCTTGATATGTGCAGCCTCTGTCACTATCCGGCAAGACTCTTTGATGGATGAGACGAACGTCCCAGATGAGGGGAAATCGGGTTCCATGGGCCGCAGACTGCTGTGCTATTGATGCAAGACTGTGAAAGACTAAAGTGCAAGACAACCGCCGTATGATTGTAAGACTGAAAGATCAAATCCAGTTGGGGTTCAATGTTCAAGTTGTAGTTCGATTTAATACTGTTCCGCAGTCGGTTTTCACATATTGAGCAGAAAAATCTGATCACTGAAAAGTAACCGAGTGTCAAATATAAGAGAGACCTGCTGAGGCACAACTCGACTTTGATGTAACAACAAGTTGTTGTTACAATATGAACGCAGTCTATAATGAGGTATTGATGCACCAAATATATTATAACTGTGCAAGTGGGATACATCCACGTTTTGAGACATTGTGCTTTTAAAAGACTCCTAATGTCCATGGAAGAAGACCTGTGCCGCATTGCGCTGTTACAGACGGTGAGCAGGCACAACGCGCACCGTCACGGCAACTTCCACTTGGGCCTAGACTCTGTCCCAAACCGGCCATTTCAGAGACGTCTTTGAGTGCGGAGTTCGAAATTGGGCTGTTTTCAACGATCATTATGATGATCGTAGCACTTCCACTTCGTTCCTTAAGACGAACGCACTGCAAAATGCTAATGATGTCGCGCGCTTTGTCTTCCACATCAGGGATAGCCATAGGTCAGTACTCATTTAGCCATACTGGCAACCGTGCCCTCAGGTTCAAAAAGTCATGCAGATATCCGCCAACAATTATTGTCCGGAGTCAAGACCGCTATGAAGGTGACTGTCCTGTTAAACCGATGCTATTCACCTGCCAATAAAGCGCTTACATAAATAGACCAAGGATTCAATAACTTCCACAACGATACGCGTGAGCTTTTATCCTTGATAATGAAGCTAAAGGTTCTAACTTCTGAGGTGCCTAATGACGCAGTCCATTCTCTCGGAAGTCTATGCTGCTGACAAGTCAGCTGGTTCACCCGTGTCATCCTCCGCTATAACCGCGATCCTACGAAAAGCTACCTTACGACGTGTTAGTCCAGAATTTTATTTCACTGGTATTACTCATCGCCGGGATTTTTTCTTTCTTGCACAGCATGATTCTGCCATTCAGTTTGTCAATGCTTCCAGACCGGACTTGGCACAGAAAGAACATCGCGAAGCAGACATTCTTGCGGCTTTTTTACCCCCTTTGATGTCGGAAGCGGATATCGACCGTGTTCTCAACGAGGTGATTGCTGAAACAACACTCGATGGGGATTCCCGCAAAATCCTTGGGCAAGTATACAAGACCTTCTACTCTAAAGTAGATAAATCAAAGTGTAGACGCCAACACTGTAAAGCGTAAGGCTGAAGCGCTCCTGATGAACGTTTAAATAGGTACCAATTAAATAAACCAAGTATGCAACTTTCCATGAAGCTGGGTCAGAATGACATTCGACGGTGTAACAACAGTAAAAGTATGTTACATGTTAGACTCTTCAGCAACAGACGGTGGAGTATCATATGATTGGGTAACAGTTGAGGCTGACGGTATGCTGCTGGAAACTGGCAAGGCGCTTCGTACTCGCGTGAGATCCTCCACACAACGACTGACTGCAACCGAAACTCCTTCAAGTATCCTGAGTCTCTCGTCAATGGCTTCTCGAGTAATCTGATCCATAAGCATTAACTGCTCGTCTGTCAGATTGGGTGGCAGCCCACGTAATGGCGTTTGAACGGCGCCCACGGGGACAGAAGCGCTGAGATTTGGCGCAGGTACATCACCATCTAAGGGTGGTGGGAGTGGCTGCCACAAGGACGGGTCAACGCCTTGTAGTGTCCCTATTCGGGAGGGAATTTCATGGGCGTGTAATGGGATGAAAGAAGGAATTGTCAAGTCTGAATCTGGTATAGCAGAAGAAACACCGGCATCAGAGGGTGATACGTTCGACGCGTCACCAGATGCAGGCTTGACAGCAGGAGCCTCATTATTAGATCTCCAGGTATTTTCGTGTTCAAATCGCTGCGATGCAGCGGCGGCAGCAGCAGCATCTCGGGGATTCAGCCGAGAGTCACCTGTGATGGCCGAGGGTTGATCCGAGGCACCCGAAGGCTCGTCGCCAAACCATCGGGGATCCATACCCCACTGACGCCATTGTCCATCAAGGCCAGTGAACCCAGGAAAGCGAGGTACGGGCTGAGGAGTGGCCGTGGCCGAAGCTTGAGATGCATCCCGTGAAGGTGGCGGGCCCTGGTACTGAATGTTGTATTGAATAACAACGCCTGGTGCTTGCCCAGGCAACCACCCCTGAGCAGCTGCATTTGGCGGGGGCTGGTTATTGACGTTGCGAGGTGCTTGGGGTTGGTTTCCTGGAGCTACCGGGTTGCCAAAATTGATTGGTTGGCCAGGTATCGCTCCCACCTGAGCACCCGCAGCACGCTGTTGTTCTTGCGCGGGATTCTCGAGTACACTGCGTCGACTGCGAAGAGAACACACTATGAGCGATTATGAGATTCCGCAATGCAAATTAACGCACCAAGTAGGGCAGCTTTGCTGACGTTCAAGCCAGGACCGAAGACAATAAAAATGGAAAATATGGCCGCAGGGAAGCTTCTTTGGGGTGGTATTAGGACCATCAGAATTCTGTTGTGCAGGGTTCGAGCCTGAAGTATCTTCCTGATTCCCAGACACGCCATGGACGAGCATCTCCTCGCGGCAGATAATACACGTTCGATCTGTCATGGCTGACATTTCTTCTTCGCTCGCGTCAGGGTAGCGTTCATCCATGTTGCGAGTGGCAGCTCTGTATCGAACAAGCGCGCGCAATCGTGTCACAAATGACCGCCCAGTGAGATAAACATCTCGGATGATGTTCAGCGGTAACCCATAGAACGCCACGATAAGGAGGAAGAATAGAAGGTATGTGGTGAGTTTTAAAAAGTCTGAAAAAAGAAATGTTTATGAAGGCTGGGAATCGATATGGATATTACATACCGGTAATCAATTCGATATAGAATACCCACATGCTTTTATTCTGCCATGGAGGCGCATTCTCGCCACCCCTTTGCCTTGCGCGTCTCAAATCGATGACACAAACGCAATACTTTGCCGTAGTGTTCATAGCGCTCGCCATCAAGATGGCGTACTAAAAGGAATGTTAAATTCAACTTTACGGGATATGCAGAGCACGCGCCTCGCTTGCAAACATCATCATGCCCCCTATACCGTTTTTCAGTGTGCTTTCAACTGCGACCGCAAACATCAATAGGTCTGTGCACCAAAGTATGACAAAAAGAGAGGTCATTCGAATATGAAAAAGTGTGGGTGGGCCGGGATATGGGCGTTGGTCCATCTAGATTATAAGTGAGTGCATTGCAGCGCGAGACGATGCAAGACACACACCCACTCAATCCGGTCCGAAGCAAGCCAGTGGAATGACCTGACAAACAGTAAAAAGCCGAACATCAAGGCAAACGGAATGTCAAAGTCATCCCGGAAGATTGTGAATGCCAGCAAAGATTCTGTGACGAAAAACCATAGACGGTCATATAGCCGCTAGTGATAATTAAGCACAGAGTCGACCATCAACTCGATGAGAGTTACCTCCACCTCCTGAGGACGCAGGGCACCGAAGAATATCTGTTGCACGAGCTGCCCACACAGCAATGCGATAAGAAGACCGAAATTTGCAAGTATCTGAAAGCTGTTTTAGTATACCGTGAATCACAATTAATACATCGCGCACCAATACACTTCTATTACTCTTTGAAAGATAAATTGCCACAGAATAGAAATTACTGTGACATCGGAGTGCATTTGTGATGGTTGCGGAAACTGCAATTGTAGATACTAGACCATAGAGCAGAACTTTGTGATGATTGAATGAAGCCACAATTGGGTGAGCTCCCTGCCGCAGAAAACCATTGAGGGGCATTCCCAGGAATGTTAGAAGGGAGGACAGTGAAGCTCAACAGAATGTTGTTCGACCGTCGACCCGGATGAGAGTGAAGGGCCGAATGTATTGCGTGTCATAAACCCGATGCTCTTCTCACGGTCACGTCACCAGCGCTTCTGTTCGTTCGTACTGACTTCTGACGCTCGGATTTATCATGATACACAAAAAAAAAACCGTACATACCACGTAAGAGGCCAGTAACAGCCAGTACAAGGTGTGCAATTACTGAGCCTGTCATCTCCCCACAAACACACAAATTTATGTTGGACTTGCGAGTTACAATGCAGCATGAACGAGTATACAGTGGCGGCGGCCCGTGAGGTCCCATACACAGTGCTCCTACCAGCCTTCAAGATGTTGTGTTTGTATCACATGGTAGACCCTTGTTTACTGATCAAGTGCTTCCTAGTGATCCCTTGCGTGGGTAATGAACTTGTACACATGCTCCTACAAGTCTTGTTACATTATTGTGCGATAATTGTGGGCTCCGTTTGATTGCGATAATGGGCACATCAAACTGCACTGCAGTAGTAGCTAGAGTACACTCAGCTATGGCTGATGAGGAGCGAAGTAAAGTAAGTAGAGGTGAAAATATGCGAGGGGGAGGCAAATACTGAATATGAAAGCGATAATCTGATGGTAGAGGAAAGAGAAAAAGTGAAAGTCACACTATACTGAGACAGCGATGATGCGAGACAGCGCTGGATCGTATGAGAAGGCATGAGAGCATCCAGGGAAGGTGCAAGATGGTGCAAGAGGGCGGAGGAAGGTTTCGGATGATGTGGGGGGATGCGGACAAAAGGTTATTATAAGTTGGAAGACGAAAAGGAAAGACAAAACTTACATTCACAAGGTAGCCCCAGGTTCACAGTACTTAGGGAGTGAATGAAAAAGGAAGAAACACAAAAAAACATACCGTAGAATCAAGTGCGGGAGATGCCAGCAGGTAAATGCGGGCAGAAGAAAGCAGGAAAGCTTACTCAAATGACGCAAGAGGTGTAGTGAGGGGTGGCAGGCGTCAGCTGCAGATCACAGTAGCGCAATGAGCACTACTATCAATATTACGTCATAAGAGGAAAATAAAGAAAAGGACTTAGGACGGCAGAGCATTGTTAGCTATCAGAACTACTAAGTAGTAGGCCGCGGGAAAGAGGTAATAGCGTGATACTTATTGCTATCAGTTACGGTCTACTCGTGATCAATGGACTTCCATTTCGTTATTCGCGTGCGTTGTTACAAATTTAAATGGTAACAAAAATCCCTGCGAAAAGTGTGAATTATTGAAAGTCCATCACAAGTTCGAATAGACCCATATTATGTTCTTAGAGCCGGATATCTGGACCTCGAAGTCGGAACTTTAAGCTCAATTGAGGTCTGGTCCATTCCAAAGTAAAATGTCGACTTGACCTTATGGCCATCCAATGGCCATCGTCTCGTAAATCACTTACGCGGACCCTATATATAAACGTTGACCTTTCTTAATTTGGCCATCACCGCGTCGGTTAGATCTTCGCATGGGAGACGTTCGACTGTAGCAATACTGGCAGATACCCGTGGATTAGCCACTGAAAATGATAAGCAAGTCGAAATGTTTGTCAAACTTCTAGCAAGAGTGAGACAAACACGGGACGCTGACGCTGAAGCTAGTCAGCTATTCGCGATGTGGCAACCGATAGGAGCATCTCGGATACACGTAACCGAGTAATTAGCCAATGAGAATGTCTTTCGAGTTTGTCTCTAATGCACGCGAACCGAGCGATTTAACTTATTATGTAGGATGTATGATTTTGTTGAGTACTACTGCCAGCTGCGGCCGAGTGGCCATTGGCGACTTGGCAGCCAGTGTGAACGTGACATGGATTCTCGGATACACGTGACCGAGCGATCAGCCAATGAGATGTCTTTCCAGTTTCTTCAATGCACGTACGTAATTAAGCGGTTTTATTATATAGGATTTTATTATATAGAATAGGATGTCAACAGGCATTGGCTTCCATCCCCATCACCCAAAACGTCTTGAAATCGCCCCCCCTCCCACGACTGAAACTTAAAGGTGGAGTGGTCTTTGAATATTTTGCATATTGATCACTGAAGGCATTGTGTCAGCCATGTCTGAACTGCGCAAACGCCAGGGTCCTGGCAAATCTACTGACACGGCCCCTCAAAATGATCTGCCCCGCAAAAGTGTTTCTGTATTGTCTTCGGTGCTATCTGGATTTGGCTGTTCTCGTCTTGCAATCTTGATATCTCTTGCTGTCTTTGCGGCTTGGTTCCTATCCTCCGAGGAGACTTCGTCACTCTCACATTCTTACGCAGTTTGCTCCTCATCGGGTGCTCGTGTTTACACTATGGATCATGTTGTGCCAAACGTCCAGTGCCTTGTTGTAGATGGTTCTTTAATAACGGACACTGGTTCCTTAGGTATGTCAAAATAGACATAAGCCCGACACAAGCAGTCGAATCAGACTCATCCATTTTATGTCATTAGAGGATGTCACGGCACATTGGGTTGCCAGGGGTCGCCGTCGTTCTTCTCTTCAAATACGTTATTTGGACGAATCTTCGATCGTGGTTCCGGGGTTTAGTGGTAAGCTGCAAGTAAACAAACAATTTATCTAGAACAACTTTTCAACACCTCAGATTCACATGCACACATTCTTGAATACGGTGCAAATAAGGAGCTTCCTCTTGAAAGTGGCAAGACGATCGAAGGTTTGCATAAGAATGACTCGTCCTGGGAGCGATCTGACTCGTATTGTAACCGCAATTCAGATACGGTTGCACTCGTCCGACAATATATTTTGGACAACGACGACATACTCAACGACTCTTCAAAAATTGTTGAAGGTTGGGGATGGGACCACACCTCTTGGCCAGTGGAAGAATGGCCAACCTCGGTGAGCTTCATAAAATCATGTGCTACACGAGCCTAGAGTTCGTTGCTTTGTAGGACGCTCTAGAGATGGATCCGATAGTCCGTGGTCGGCCAGTCGTCCTGGGTAGCAAGGATGGCCATGCAACGTGGTTCTCGAAGAAAGCTCTCGCATTGAGCTCTCCGTTGCCATCGGAAGTAGAAGGTGGTATCATCATGAGAGATTCATCTGGAAATCCAAGCGGTTCCGTTCTTTCTTTGTGGGGATATGACCTAGAAATAGCTTACACCAATGATCAGGTGTTCTTCTTGACAATGCCCAGGACCTTGTGAAGAGACCAACTCCAACTGAACAAGACTTGCTGCGACGTTTCCATATCACAGTCAATGACGCCTTATCCTATGGATTAACCTCTGTCCATGATGCGGGGTTCTCACCTGTTTCACTCGAGTTTTTCAAAAGGTCTGCTAAACATTCTTGTGTAAAAATACATTTAACGTTATTCATGCAGGCAGGCGGCGGCAAGAAATCTTCCCGTAAGTACTCAAGGATACCATCACCGTGTGGTTCACAACAGTCCATAGATTCGAATTTATGGGATGAGATACTTCCAGGAAAGCGGTCCTTACTGGGGAAACCTCTCAAAACCAATTATCGATGCAGGAGATGGCAGGCTAAATGCTCGCAGTGTTAAGATCTTCGCTGACGGTAAAATGGTAGTGATAGTATTAAGATGTCAGACTGACTAGTTATTCAGGTGCTTTACGCTCTGGTGGAGCAGCGGTGAGAAGCTCGTTGGTCATGTTTGCGTATTTTTGACGTCTCTCAGCTGAACGAGCCATATTGTGATAACCCCCACACGAAAGGATTCATGCGTTTGGACCCCAAAGTTTTGACTGATGTTATACTAAAATATATAGGAGATGGGTGGCAAGTTGTAAGTGCTGGCGATCGCAAAATATATGTCTTTCATTCGCTTTTGTCTGAAAGAACGTCCATGCAATCGGGGATTATGCCAACAGTGTGGTTCTAGACGCATTCGAGACTGCCTCGAAGGGCGTCAATGTAACAGCACTCAGACCTCGCCTAGAACATGCTCAGATCTTAACAGAGGCTGACTTGCAACGTGTTGGAAAGCTTGGAGGTGAGCATTCTAGTTTCTTTGATGTCAATGGAAGTATAATTGTCGCTATTTAGTTATCTCCAGCGTTCAACCTACACATGCGTACGTTAAATTATTCATCTCAATGTGTTTGCGAATGACATGTGTCGTGTGGACGGAATAGCATCAGTGATATGTGGTTTGCAGAAGAACGTCTTGTGAGTTCATGGGGTCATAGCTTCTGGCGTTTACAGGTGTTCATCGTTTTCTAGGGCGCTGAGCGAGTGAAGGGTTTATATGCCTTCCGTTCCTTACTTGACCACGGTTCTCGACTTGCCTTTGGCTCTGACTTCCCGGTGGAAGACATGAACCCGCTCGCTGGGTTCCATGCGGCCATTACGAGACTGTCTCCTGAAGGACAATCACCCAGTGGCCCGTCGGGATGGTATGGCTTTCTGGTCGAAAACCCCCCCATTGAACTCATGTATATTTTGCAGGTTTCCAGAACAACGGCTAACTCGTATGGACGCCTTAAGAGGTACTTCACGAGAGTACTCAGATATGAGTGTTACTGATATGGCAAACAATCAATAGGCATGACAATCGATGCTGCATATGCTTCGTTTACCGAAGGCAGCCTTGGTTCCCTCGTTCCAGGAAAACGGGCGGACTACGTGGTGCTAACTCAAGACATCATGACTATCCCCGTCGATCAAATTTTAAGCACCAAAGTTCAAGCTACGGTGATTGATGGGCGTCTTGCTTTTGGACGGGTTTAAGATAGTGGATGGAGGTGTGCTAGGGTGTAACCAAAGTGATCAACTTGGAGTTCTATACGCAGGACGGGCTCCCTTGCTCACCCCCAAAGTCCTATATTTGCTTTGCTTTGCTTTTGATGTTTTGTTTTTTGTTTTGCTTTCGAATCTGTACTTGGCGCAATAGATTACTTGGAACCATCAGTCATTCGGAAATAACCGAAGCTAATTCGACGCGCCACCAACGCGTCTCGACACGTCTCGAGTCGGACAATATTTACTGACAGCGTTGTAAAACGTCTTTCTTCTGCATCATCAAGTCTAAGACTTTCATTTCATAATTTTATGCCTGCGTATCAGTCGCCACTTACGGGTGAGAAACGAAAGCTGCCACTCGATCCTTCCAGCAGGAAGAAAGTCGCGATTGAGAATGCACTCGGAGGTCCCTCGGCGTATAGTGCAAGCAGTAATCACGGAGGAGAAGAGTACTGGATGATTCAGTGGTATGTGGAAGTTCCAATTCGTGTCCTTCATGCTTACACTAAGGTACTACTAGGAGATACCCCCAGTACAAGAAACACAAAACTTGGGATGGGGATGCCGTCCTAGTTCTCACAGGTATCAGAGGGTCGATGTTCGACCTAGAAGGAAAGATGTACGTTTTCTTTTCTGGCCGAGAAATTTGAGGGTCAAGGTTAATCTGCGCTGTCGCGCCCACAGAATGGGGGCTGGGTCCTTAAATGCGCCCAAGGCTGAGGAAAATGGAGAGTATAAATTTGGAGAGAAAGAGATCAGGATCGATCATCCAATTCCTCGTGGAGAATACATGTCTAGAAAGTGCTATGGTCGAGGAAGCATGCCATCTTCGGCAATGACTGGCAATAGCTCCGTGACACCCTCTTTGCGTGCCACTCCCTTGCCATCAACGAAGATGAATGTGCCTTACAAGACGCCATTAAAAGCCGTAGACAAAAGGGCTATTGATCTTCATCCTGTCAATCTTCTGTCCACAAGGGACCCCCCCTCTGCAGGTTCTTCGAAAGCAAATGCGCCAGCTACTTACTGGACTGCTAACTGGTAAGCAAGGAGCGAGGATATTGCATATATGCTGACTCTCGCAGGCGGAAGCCGCAGAGCAAGAAGCACAAGACCTGGGATGGAGATGCATTTGTTAGCCATGTCGGCGATAAGCTCACTGTGATATCAGAAAAGGGGAAAATGTAAGTAGGATTCAATTGCTTCGTCGCCAACCTCTCACGGAATGATCATCACAGACTTGGCCGTAAGGAATGGGACGGACTCGCTCTACACAACGGGTACAGCTTCAGCGCCGGTGGCAAACAAATCGAGTTAGATTCACAAGTACAAGCATCGCGAATGCCTTCCATCACCGGGGTGGAAGACGTGTTGCCAGGACTGGAGGAAGACGTCCCCGTAGTGTTGTCTTCACCACCCAAGCCCTCGTTTCTGCTTCAGGCAAAGAGCGCTCTCTCTGGCAAAGAGAATGATATCACAGTTACATCTCCAGGTGCTTCAAAAGCGTTCGTTCCCCCCGCGTCGTTCTATGGCCAGAAGCCAATTAAAAAGCCAAATGCACCATTGTAAGTTTCTTCGGCTCCTTGTTAATGAGGGTCTTAAACCGGGTAGGCATGATCCCGAAGCAGAGGGAGCAATCGTCATGAAAGCAACAACCCCAGAGCACGCTGTGAAGTTCAACAAGAAGTATGCTTTGACGTTACGCTTTCTATTGAAGCAACCTGAGATATCGTTGCAGGAACTTGCCCACTGTAGCAGTTGTCCTAGATCCTATCATTGCAAGACATCTTCGTCCACATCAGATCGAAGGTAACCATACTATCTGGATATGTTATTTCTTTAATGGCACAAAATGTTACAGGCGTCAAATTTCTGTATGAATGTGTCATGGGCCTACGGAGACATGAGGGTCAAGGGTGTATACTCGCCGACGAGATGTACGTGTTCAATCTGTGCGTTTGCGTGCAATTGCTGATATTCAGGTTCCAGGGGTCTGGGGAAAACCCTTCAGGTCTGTTTGTTTATTCGACATTGTTCCCGCTCGGTGACACCTTTTGCAGACAATTTCTCTTGTATGGACACTCCTCAGTGAGTTCGTTGTCTCATCTGTGTTACAATTTCCGAATGGCCGCAGAGCAGAATCCCTACGTTAGCGCTGGGCCAGTAATCGGCAAGGCCTTGATCGTATGCCCCGTATCATTGGTCAATGTTCGTTTCTATTCTTTAGTTATGTTCGCTATCTTCTGACTTGCGAGCAGAATTGGCGCGCCGAATTTCACAAGTGGTAGGACAGAATCGTGCTGATGCGAGATTTGTTTCAACTTGGACTTTAAGGTTAGGTAGAGATCGTGTTGGTGTTTTCACCGGCGACAAGGATAAATCCACTATCAAGCAATTTCTCAATTCGTACGTGTTGGCACCAGTTGATTGGAGCTCTCCGCTCACCGAAATATCAGACGGCATCAGGTTTTAGTCATTGGCTATGAGAAGCTTCGGACTGTCATGTGGGTGGCACATTTTTCACTGTTGTGCATTTATTTACGCTAGTCAGAGACGATTTGGCATATTGCAAGTAAGTATTCATTCTGCCGTTGCAGTGAATGCGAATCTAATGCTCCGCATAGTCCTCCGATTGGCCTGGTTATTTGTGATGAAGGTCAGTTGATGTAGGTAGAATATAGATGTCATTGACCCCTCGGCAGGACACAGACTGAAGTCATCAAACAATAAGACTTCGACAATGTTTAAATCATTACGTACTGTTCGAAGAATCATTCTGTCTGGTACTCCTATTCAGAATGATTTGAGTGAATTCCATGCCATGGTGCGCATGAGGCATCTATTTTTATCACTTTCTTAGTGCTAACTCATCAAAGGCGAGCTTTTGTAACCCAGGGCTGCTCGGTGAGCTGCAGAGCCTTTCTTCACAAGGGTTAATCAAATAAAGGAATTTCGCAGATGATTACGCTACATTTCGTAGGGTTTATGAGGTTCCTATCCTCAAAAGCCGAGCACCAGATTGCACGGATAAGGAACTCGAGCTTGGCGAGGCTCAATCAGCTCAGGTTCGTGGAACAATTGTGTTTCATTCAGCTGCTGAAGGACGTCAAAAGTTATCTTTGATCGCGAAAAGTTTCGTATTGCGACGGGAAGCTAGCATTCTCAAGAATTATCTTCCGCCAAAACGTATACTCTTTCTCTAGCCGCAGTTCAAATATCTAACGTTCTGAACAGACGAATATGTCGTGTTCATCACTCCGACGCAACTGCAATTGTCCATATACTCCGCTATTCTTAACCCCGATAAGCTAGATAGGCTGATTGATGGACCGACCGCAGAGTCGCTTGCTTTGATCAACGTACTCACAAAAGTCAGCAATAGTCCCGTGTTGCTCAAGGCTCAAGCAGATAAGGCAAGAGCGGCAAACAAGGATACAATTCGCCGCCCAGGTATTGATGACGCCTTGAGTTTATTACCTAAAGATCCCCGAATCGAAGACTTCTCCATGAGCGGTGGGCCCCATGTTCTTTAATAAGGTCCATTGACTGATTGCATCTTCATATCAGGCAAGCTTCTGGCGTTGTCGCACCTCCTTAAAGCCATCAAAGAGGTAAGTCTGTTTGATTAATTATATCACTTTATTTGACCGCTATTAGCGCACCCAAGAAAAATGCATCATTGTTTCACATTATACATCAACCCTCAATTTGATCGAGGCCTTCTGCAAGAAGAAATCTTATACGTTCTTCCGGCTTGACGGGTACAGTTTCCATTCCATGTTGAAGTATCTTTGATTTTTGTCTCACATCATACTGCCATAGTCAGACACCAGCAGCGAAAAGGCAGGAGTATGTCAACACCTTTAATAAATCATCGCAGTACAGCCATTGTAGGTCACTCAGTTGCACTTATCAGCGCCCATCTGATTTTGTCGGGAAAAGTTCTATTCCTGCTGAGTTCAAAGGCGGGCGGCGTTGGGCTCAACCTTATCGGCGCGTCAAGATTATGCTTGATAGACTCCGATTGGAACCCGAGGTGTGTGTAGCGTATGTAAAGATACGATGGCTCTAAAACATCTCCCATTCAAGTCACGACCTTCAGTCCATGGCACGCATTCATCGGTGAATAAGCAAATCTTTGAAAGTATCTTGTCCTGATCAAATAATCATAGTGATGGGCAGAAACGGCCCGTTTTCATCTATCGATTTCTCACTGCAGGAACAATCGATGGTGAGCGTCTCTACTGATAAGGTGTGTAACGCGCTTATATCCCCCCTTGGAAGAGAAAATCTATCAGAGGCAGGTGACCAAGATTGGACTTAGCAACTGTGAGTGAATTATCTGTTCTCGGATTCCGACACTAAATTATAGGTGTCAAGCTCTTATGGGCTCGGTAAGCTAATATTTTGTTTTTACCTGATGGGGTTTATACTATCACATTCAAGGGATCATCCGGCTCGAAGTCAGACTCGTTTTCACGGAAAGATGTACTTCTTTTTCGCCTAGGAGGTGACTGGTGAATGATGCCTCCATTTACAGCTTCGGGATATTTTCCGAGTCCATCCTGAGACAGGCTGCAATACTCATGACCTTTTGGATTGCGGATGTGATGCCGGTTCAAAGGATCTCAATGACATGACAAGTGTCTCCAGGAACGATATAGAAGTCGGTGAGCGTGATGACGACGAAGATCCAGCAGGAACCGGCTTCGTCAATGCGTCGCAAGTCAAACCCCACCACATTGAGAAGATGGATGGAGCGGTAAGGATTTCAATTCCGTTCATCATCCACAGAATTATGCTGATCATGGTTCTGTAGTACATGAAGAAAAAACAGGCAGAGCTTGCATCACTTGGAGAGTGGACACACATCAATTGCCTGCGGAGATTGACGAGCGACAATATCCACGATGCCATTCTTCGTCATCTGATGCTTCCAAGTGTGAGCGATGATAAAGAAGACCTCGCGCAGCCGAAATCAAGGCTTGATTCGCTTTTGTCGGCCGTTGACTTGGACAACATTACGGCTATGGATGAAGCGACTCAACCATTATCCGTTCGTGATGTCCCTGGCGGAACCATTTCGTTCCTTTTCGAGAAGACGTCCGTCTCTACCTTGGAAGAGAATGATGTGGAAGAGGGCTCAATGGTTTGATCACTCTTACATCTTTTTCTTGATACCCACGATCTCCAAATTGCGCACTTTACATACGACAATTCTCTAATGGTCCGAACAAGCTCAAAGTTTACAACTAGAGATAATGGCTGTCTTCCTCCTATTGGTCTGCTTACGGGACACTCAAGAGTCAAATGAACTGGACTTCATATACAAAAGAAATGATCACTTGCGAGACTTGTGGAAGTGAGACTGTTGGTCACACAACCGATGACATACTACAAGAATGGGGTTTTGAATCTCGCTGTCAATAGCAGTATACATGGTGACAATATTACTGATATACCGATATCCCACTAGCTATAAAATAATTTGTCGTGTTGCCAACTTGTGCAAGTACGACGTCGTACAATGTTACCGGTGTCACACAGCACGTGACGTAACGTTTCGTGTTAATCTTAATTTTGAGCTTCGAGAAGTCCTGCCACATCTAAGTACTCTTTAACGATGGGTGTCCTTTGGGAGGTAACGCGGTTTTGTTCTTCTCTGAAAGATTGTTTTGATTCAACTGCGCAGGTCGTGAACAAAGCAGGACAATCTTGATCACTATCCAATCTCGCGGTTAAGGAAGGATTTGAGAAGAATCATTCCGGGAAACGCGCGTTTCGTATCGGGATCGACGCCAGTATATGGTATCAACACTGTTCACACAGCAAAGGTGGCGAGAACCCAGAACTCCGCTTGTTGTTCTTTCGTCTATGCTCATTGGCGCGACTACCCTTTTTACCACTCTTTGTTTTTGATGGTGATGAAAGACCCAAGATAAAACGAGGCAGCAAGATGGGGAAATCGGGATCCCACGGCCTTACGTCTGAGATGAAGAGACTGTTGGAAATATTTGGCATGGAATGGAGAACGGTGAAGCGGACGTGATCCGAACACGCTCGACTGCTGATGTTTTTCAGGTTCTCGGTGAAGCAGAAGCCGAACTGGCTCATCTCAATAGATATGGCGTTATAGATGCAGTCTTGACGGATGATGTAGATGCGCTTGTTTTCGGTGCCCTTCGGGTTATGAAAAAGTAAGCCTCGTTGCCTCTGCAATACTAAGTTGCGCATACTTTCTTGCCCATAGTTCAAGTCTAACGCTTTCTGGGAACAAGTCCAATCCCGCATTGGATTCGGAGGGCAAACCCAGCAAACACCATGCTATGATATACACAGCAGAAGCTATTAGGAGACGCCCAGAGGTAGGGCTCACTAGAGGGGGGTTTGTTCTCTCTGCGATGCTTGTGAAAGGAGACTATGGTGATGTACGAAACTTGCATCTACTGAGTTCGCCTGTTTAAAAGATTCAGGGCGTAAGGGATGTTGGCAGAGGTATCGCGCTTGGCTTGGTACGCTGTGGATTCGGCGACGAACTTCTCGAATTATTTCACCGCCGTTCCATCGAAGACATTTGGCCAGCACTTGCACGCTGGCGCTCCAGCGTCAACTTGGAATTGCACACCAACTCCCGGAAACAGCTTCGGCACTCGTACTCGACACTTTCCTTACCGCTAGACTTTCCAAATATGCAGATACTCGAGAATTATATCGGTCCAGTATGCAGTGCCCGGGTAGGAAGCATGGGTGGTGGAAAAATGCGTGACAACGGAGAGCTGAATCTTGCCCGAGCCGCAGCGTTCTGCGAGGAGAAGTTCGGAGAGTGGGGTTACCCAACTGCGATTATAAAGAGGTTCCGAAGCCTGATGTGGGAGGCGGCAATAATGAGGGTTCTCAGGAGAGCTGCGCTTGAAGCTGACAAGAAAGAGAGGACAAAACGTCTCGAGCACGGCGAAAGCTCCGTCATAAAAGGGCCACCGACTCCCTCTCCTGCTGAGGCAGTTGGGACGCCGGCTTACCTCGTGAACAAGTATCTCCCTACGACAGACGTAAACCGTCGTCGTGCGGCGTTTTCCCTTCAACCCTCCTTCGAAGGACATAACTCTCGTAATGGGTCATTGATCACGAAGATTTAAGGAACGCGCCAGCATGTATCCACTGATGGCCTTCTGGAGTACCGTGTTGAAGTGTGTCCTTCACAGTCTGTAGAAATTGCTCAATCAGGTATCAAGGGTAAACGATCCGAGCCCACAGGCCATGCCACTGCTTCGGATGTCAATCAGTAGCTCGCAAGCGCAAGCCACGAAGAGAACTACCAAAAAGTTGCCACCCGATCCGCATAGCAATATGCGTGTTTGGATTCCTGTTTCTATGATTCGACAGGTCGAGCCTTGTCTTGCCATTGACTATGAAGCCAAGCAAGAGAAGAGCATTCACAAAACCCCAGGAAGCGGTGTAGTACAGAGACAAGGGACGGGTAAAGCACAGGCCGAACCAGGCACTGAGGAGAGAAGCGATGCTGGACCTCTCGCTTCCCCGGTCCGAGGAGTCAGAACGCACTGTCAACTGAATCGAGGGGGTGACGGATCAATGAAACAGGGACTTTCCATTTGCGCACTGGGTCTGGATCCTGAAGAAAGTCGTGCTGGTGACGAGCTACGATCGCAAAATCGTCTCGAGGATAACACTCTATCACTCCCTTCTACCTCTATATTTGCTTCTATTTCGGATGCCCATCCGCCCAGCGGATTCTTGTTTTCCATGCCCAACCCTGACGATCCTCTGGAGTTAGAGTTAGAGGATGAGGAGGATGCTAATGGCACGCCCCCCAGCTGGTTCGATCGGCCGTTCAACCAGGTCGTAGGGTTTCATAAGAGGCACTCGCTAGACGACAAGGTCAGACCCGAGGAACAAGCTGGCCCTCCTTGCAAACGCGCTTTCGATCATTCCGAGATAGCTTCACTGTTGGCTCCAAGCGGAGCTGATAAAAAAAACAGAAGGTCGTATTCACCAGCTTCCAAAGAAGAGGAAAGCGCAGTCGACTGCCACTCAATCCCACTTCATCATCCCTCCGAGTCGCAATGTCTCGCATCCTCATGATCAGCCCTGCTTCAATCCCAATGTCTTGGAAGTCTTCAGCGATTCCGAGGAAGATGAAATTTTCCGATCGATATCCGTCTCCATCGGGAAATTTCCGAGGCCCCTGCCCTCTTTGATGGTTATTCCGAAGCACGCCCCCGCCCTTGGTGCGCACGCACCAAAGAGGCAGAGCTATCATCAACCTTCTCGCCAGCAAAATGACCTAATCGTGGACAATGTGGAGATGATGATCGACCTCACCTGATGCTAAACCTGTAAGGCGACAATCCCCCTTCTCATATCGATCACCGCATTGAAAGTTCATTGGATCAAACGTGAAGTTTGACTTCCGTATGATAATTGTCATTTGTAGTAATCACCATCTAGCGATATTTAACGCACACATGTCCACGCAACCCCGCCGATCCTTCTGAATGTGCATTTTACGGTCTCTACGCCTTCATTTCTTCTGACAATCGTTTCTGCGTCGACGTGCGCAACTCTACGTCGACCGGTCAACATTTGCGCCATCTAGTTCTGTTCTCCGTTACCTCGTGTGTCGCTTGACACATCATGCGAAAGGGGGCCACAGTGATACATGTGTGGGTTGCAACATATATCCCGGACTTGTCGAGCTCCGTCTACGCTCCAGTCCCGCCATAGTTTCATAGGTGTTGCAGCTCCAAGACTGGTTGTGATAGGAGCAATAGCAACCTGCTGACGGTTCATGAACAAGTCGTGAAAGAGTCACCACTCACTTATACGAGTGATTCCACTGCGCGGAAGAGAAAATGGTGGATTTCCGCTGAGCTGGCGAGGTAAGAGTGAACGTTCAGGCTCGTGTAGATCGAATGTGCTTGGAGATGGTCCTGCAGAGTCCGCAGTCACGACACAAGTAAATACAACGACTGGCAGCAGGTATCTTATGTTGATACATTATACATGGTCCCTAGTAATCTTTGTCGAATTCACGTTTGTCTACTCATGTGGAGATCCTCAGCCTGCACATTTATATAATGTGGCTTGAGAGACCATCGCACTGAAATACAAGATACAACTGTTTGCAAATACATAGTATGTACCGATCCATAAGGGTGAGACCTGTATTAAATCGACAACAACAGTCTATAATCGTATGAGGCATAAATTCAATGGGAGGTCAACCTACGTCTTGCCTGATCATTTTAGCCAACTGTTTTGCGGTCTCTGAAGATATACCACAACGCTTCGTGAGATGAGGGACAAGATCCTTCCTTCTCACATTCGGACCCCCTGCAAGTAGCTCCTTCAGCTTACGCATCAACGACACGAACAGATTGTCCCCTCCAATCCATGCTTGTTTCTGCTCGTCGGCAGTAAATTTCTTAACAAGGTTGCGGATCGTGATGCGCGATTCTTCATAAAGGAGTTTGTGTCTGCCGTCCAATCTATTTGCGGCGGTGATGCACGCATGACCAGCGACCTGGATCTGATATTTCTCGAAGGTGTTGTGGTTCCTCTCCCACCAATCCTCCATCCTCTTCTCTCTTTCGAGGTTCGTGATCGCAAGAACAATTGGAACCTTCTTCTCGCAGAGAAATTCGTGAAAGAGCCGGTAGTTGCTCTGAAGCGTAGCAGTGACTCTGCCGGCGCGAACGCAGAATAGAAGCAGATCAATGCCGCCTTGTCTATCCAATTCCTTGATGAGCTTATAGGCGTTCTCGACAGACTCGAGGTACTCTTTGATTCCCAGCTGCGGTTCCTCGAGCCCGATGGTATCGAAAACCTTATATGAGTCGCCGCCGAAGCCGATAGTATAGTCTTTCCACTGCATTGTACAGCGTTGCATGTCAGGAGATGTGTTCGCTACTTCTTCGTCCGCCATGAGGTTGATGAGTGAGCTTTTGCCTGCTCCCGTCTCCCCGAATAGTACGATAGTTTTATGCCTGTCCTCGCTTGTTAATATTGAAAAGAAATACGGAACTTCATCTAGAGACCACATGCCTGCTACGAGAGTCATTCAGTGGTCCAGTGGTCATTGAAGCGGTGCCATGCTTGTTCCTACTTATCAATATGAGACAACTACAGTACGAAGAGCATCTGAAGACTACGCACCCTAAAGCCATTTAAGAGGGATGGTCCTGATAGTGCTCAATTGAAGCGTTTGGCCGACACTTAGTGATGTAGTTCTTATAAAGACAGACGCAGACTTGCAGGAGATCACGTTCCTTGTGCCCATCCTTTGAACGCAACCCTGTGGTATTGAAAACAGCACCCGTCAGATTCTCGAACAACTCGAGGCAAACTCGTGTTGGACTTGAGGATTTGATTAGTAACCACCTATTGAAAAAGATAGTGAGTTATGGTTCAGGTTGAAAATGAAAACCAGATCTCACGTTCATAGTCCGAGGACGGCGGACGCGCGCCAGTGATCACGGACGACGCAGAACTTGCAACTACGTCAAAACTACTACGGTATAGGGCTGATTTTTTCAAGTCCCTACATAAGACATATGCGCACTATCCCTGCGGGCCAATGTACGAACATTCCCTTTCTGATTCATCTATGCTCATTAAGTGGCTGCAAGCAGTATGTCGAACATCGGACGGAAGATTGGTAGAGGAACACTTTGGGGAATTATTCTCTCAGATCTAAATCTTGGGCCTCCTGCAGGGATTGCAAACAGACTAAATCATGGATGGCGGCCTGCTACTATCACGTCTCTGGCACCGCTTTCTCAAACTTTGAGGCGCTTCGCGTTTGGATAATTAATATTAATTACCTCATGACCCCCTGCTAAGTACATAATGATATACTAGTCACATATCCAGGAATACACAGCCACTGCGCCTATGTCCAGCTGCTCAGAGCAAGCCCAACGCATACGCAGCATGGCTGTTAGGTTGCTCCAACAGCGTCTGAAACATGCAGTATCATTGCGTCGTGGTCTATTTTCACTGATCTGGCACCTGGACGTCCGACTCCGACGTATCGAACAAACGATTGAACTAATCGGGGGATACTACCTCTAAAACACCAAACGCGTAAGTCAAGACCGCAGTGCCCTTCACTGTTTCTTGTCTTGTCTTGTCTAGACTCTGGATTGAACCATCTCCGCAATGTCGTCCTCTGTTGGTGGAGGACCGTGTATTACTGTAAGTGATAGCTCTGGTTCTTCCTCAGCATAAAGTTGACGCGAAATCATTTTCACATTCCAAACCAGAGTGAGGCTTCACATCACACAGAAGAAACCTGCAATGTGGTCATTTTTGGGGAAACTGGCGCTGGCAAAAGCTCCTTGATCAATTTGGTCACTAAGAAGCACTCGGCGCCGACATCCTGCGACACTACGGGATGTACCATTCAAACCAACGTGTACGACCTCTCGATTGAGTCGATTCAGAGCAATCTTTTGAAGGTGAAGCTTTTTGATACTCCTGGTCAGTGCAAGTTCGCTGCTCTAGGTGACTGTTGCTGAACTAGATTCAGGTCTTGATGAGGGCTCTCAAGGAGCAGTTCCCGATAAAGAAGCCCAACAAGTTTTGAAGAAACTCCTTCGAAGTCTTCGAGATGACCTTCATCTTCTCATGTACTGCGTGCGGGGTGTAAGAGCGAGGAGGGCGCTCTACCGCAACTACAACCTCATCCGCTCCGAAGTGAAGGGGAGAGTTCCAATCGTTCTTGTCGTTACTTGTTTGGAAGATCAAGAACCAGGCATGGAAGACTGGTGGAAGAATAACGAACGAATCATTTCAGACTTCGGGATGACCTTTTCTGGCCACGCATGTATTACCACGATGACTATCCAGGAAGATGCAGGAAATAGGCTCAAGCGACGCCATGACCAATCATACCACGCTGTCTGTCAACTGATTGAGCAGTGTCGCTCGAAAGGGGTTCAACGCCCGCTGTTAGTCGCCGGCGAAAGGCAACATAGCACTATCCGGCAGGTATCTCCTAACGTGGATGCAAGGTACTCATTTTTCAGTTGCTCCTCGTGCCGCATCTTGCCAACTTTAACTAGTAGGAACAATATCGTATTCACTGAGGAGATAATGGCCAGCAATGGCTCACCTGCCAACGTCAGGGAGGTAGCAGCCACGTCCCCTGACCAGCAACGCCATACCCTGCGGCGGAAGGATACCGTCGATGATCTCAAGGTGTTCAATACCACTAAAAGGTGCGTAGTCTTCAAATGCTCTTCATACTGTATCGATAAGCGAGAATAGGCCTAGAATTATCGTAGTCTTTGGGGATACTGGAGCAGGCAAAAGCTCGCTCATCAACCTCATGGCGGGTAAAGAAGTAGCGAACACATCTCCCGACACGAAACGTTGTACGATGCAGTGGAAAGAGTACACCGTCAGCTTTGGCGGCGAGCTTTACAAGGCCTTCGATACTAGCGGACTCGATGACCCGCAGCTGGGAATCAAAGAGTACCTCGAGTCTGTCGAGAACGCCCATCGGCTCATCAAGGAATTGGATAGACGAGGCGGAATTGACCTGCTTCTATTCTGCGTTCGCGCCGGCAGAGTCACTGCCACGCTTCAGGGCAACTACCGGCTCTTTCACGAATTTCTCTGCGAGAAGAAGGTTCCAATTATTCTTGCGATCACGAACCTCGAAAGAGAGCAGAGAATGGAAGACTGGTGGGTGAGAAACCACAGCACCTTCAAGAAATATCAGATCCAGGTCGCTGGTCATGCGTGCATCACCGCCGCAAATAGATTGGACGCCAGACATAGAGTCCTTTATGAAGAATCACGCATCACAATCCGCAACCTTGTTGAAGAATTTACTGCCGACGGGCAGAAGCAAGCATGGATGGGAGGGCACAACCTGTTCGTGTCTTTGATGCGTAAGCTGAAGGAGTTACTTGTAGGAAGTTTGCATGTGAAAACGAAGGATCTTGTCCCTCATCTCACGAAGCGTTGTGGTATGTCTCGAGAAGTTGCAAAACAGTTGGTCGACATGATAAAGCAAGGCGTAGTAACAACTACTTGACTTTCCCTCTTCGATAACTCAATTTCGCTTACTTTACTGTGGGTAGTAGATCCAATGAATTGTATGAGGACCTTGCGTAGTACGTACCAACCTTCCCTTGATCGAGTCTAGTAACTAAGACGAATGAATGAATTTCGTCTGGCCATCTCCTCACGTGCGACTCAAGAAAGTCAGACACATTTCTTTCCACATGCAGCGAGCCCTGTTTCCATTCAACCCACACAGGATCAACCATGCGTTGATCCGCACCGTCTGTTCCAAACTACCTCAGGGCCCGGCACGCGTGAAAGTACCGTCAAAATGTTGAATACAACTTGCACTTGTCGACATATCCTCACGAACTTCGCTTTCAGCAGGCTTAAGCATTGACCTGGGAGGGTTCGGTCTTTCAGAATCCAGGCCAGGGCCCCAAATCCGCCATCGTTCTAAATTTACCTGTATGCCAGTCTTTCAAACTCGACAAGCTAGCTCCAGTTCCGAGCGCATGTACGAAGCCAGTGCATAATCAACATGCTGCAACAGGTTACATTCTAACATGCCGCTTGATGCTAGCTTGATCACATCCATGGAACGGCATGGAACATCCAACATGCTGAACACATGCGTCGTGATCGATATTCAAATTTTGGGGCTCGAAATGACGACCCTCTGACGAACATGGATATTTTACATGAGGGCATTAGGCTAGAGACTCTCAAAAAACCGAACACGCTGGCAAGTCGAGACTGCCTCTCACTATTCCTTGTTCCAATCTGACCATGTCTTTATCTACTGAGAGACGACCATCTACTGTAAGTAATGTTTGGCTCTTCCTCAGCACACAACTGACTTGATTGCTGATCAGAGTCTTGATGGTACCAACGATATTCAAGCTGGAGAAGTTTTACATCGCACGGAAACATGCAATATTGTCATTTTTGGAGAAACGGGAGCTGGTAAAAGTTCCTTGGTCAATTTGATCACTGGGACGCAATCGGCGCCGACGTCCTCCGACGCCATGGGATGTACCACTAAAACGAACGTGTACAAGCATGACATCGTAAGTCATAACAAGACCTTGAAGGTAAAGCTGTTTGATACGGCTGGTAAGTGCAGTTAGCCGCTCTTGGTAGGTGTCACTGACTTCGTTGCAGGTCTTGATGAGGGCTCTGAGGGAACGGTCCCCAATAAGGAAGCTCAGAACTTTTTGAAGAAGCTCCTTCAAACCCTTATGGAGCAGGACGGCATTCATCTCCTCGTGTACTGCGTGCAGGGCACGAGAGAGAGCAGGGCGCTCCACCGGAACTACATGTCATTCTATTCCAAAGTTAAGGAAAAAGTTCCAATCGTCATTGTCGTTACGCGTTTGGAAAACCAAGACCCAGACATGGAGCAATGGTGGAGGAAAAACGAGCAATCCATCTCAAACCTCAATATGACCTTCGCTGGCCACGCATGTGTCACCACAGTGACCATCGACGAAAATGACAGTGACAAGCTCAAACGGCGTCGTGAACAGTCATATCATACCCTCTGCGACCTTATCGAGCAGCATCGCTTGCCTAACGAGAAAGGCGTTCGCGATGTCGAATGGGCATGCGATGACCATGAAAGGGATCACCCGCGAAGCGTAATCGTCTGCGACTCTGCTGTCTCAGCCCCCCTGAATATCTGCAACATCGCGGGTGTCATTAATGGCGCGTGGGTGAGGTCCATGGTAGTTATACGCGGGCATTACTACATGTTCCAGCGTGTGACTGCACCTTATCCACCCGCAAAACGGTCAAAAGGAGGCGTTGGTTTCGAACCTTGCTTGTTGATTTTTTACGCGAACAAGGACGAGTCTGTCAGTACGCAGAGAATGGAGGTGCAGAAGTTTCGGAAGGTCTACGCGAAATCCAGGGTCAGCTTAGTTGTCGTGGTTTGTGGCTGCGACAATGATGAAGATGCGAAAGGATGGTGGGAGAGGTCAAATGACACTGGTATGGACCCATTGTTAGCGTCATCCATTACTTTCACGTACTTACCTCGAGATGCGTCGGAACATTCTGAGAGTGCTCAAGAAGCACTCCAAAAGTTGATTTGGGAGCTGTCTCGTTCTGGAGAGCCTCGTAGTTCGGTGGTCCGAGACCTTCTCAATCGCGTGTGGGGGTATATAGCGAGAGTCAACTAACATAATTTTTCAAAGGTCTACGGTTACGAATATATATGATGATTAGTTCAGATAGCGAGCGATTCAGCCTTTTGAGTGGTCATTGCATATTAAGTTTCGAGTCGGCCCATATCAAACCCTGAATTCGTTCAATTTCCTTAAATTTTTGAGAGTGGGAGACTCAGCAACAAGTTGTAAGAGATGGAGCACTGCTGCACAGGTCTTCTAAAAGCAAAAACATAGCAATCGGCCCTCAGCGCTCCGGCAGGCGCACCGGAGCAGTGGGTTTCAAGTTTGCGCCTTGACACGTGCGGGTGGACGCCGATCCGAGGTCATCACAAGATTATATGTTGTGGAAATTATAAATAAGGAGAGAAAAGCAACTCTAAGTCTCTAATCCACCCGCGGACCTGCCAACCTCACGCTTTCTTGCACATCGCTTTCGTACAACTTGAACGCCTTTTGGAACATGCCCGCGAGCTTGCGAACCTCACGTTCAAAAGCCTCCTTATCTGCCCAGGCGAGACGCGGGTTGAGCACTTCGCGTGGAACACCCTCTACCGCGGTAGGAATCTGGAGCCCAAAGCCGCCAAAGGTCTCATACTCGCTATCGAGAAGCTCCCCGGAGTGTACGGCATCGACAATGCGGCGGGTGTACTTAAGTGGGCAACGCTTGCCCGTACCGAATTTGCCACCTGTCCAGCCGGTGTTGATTAACCAGCAGGACACGTTGTGTTTGGACATGCGCTCTGCTAGCATTTCTGCATAGCGTCCAGGCTGATCCAGCAAGGCTTAGCTCAGGAATCCTTAGGAGGAGATGAAAACTCACGTGTAACACGATGAAAGGTGCGCTATAGCAGGTCGAGAATGTTGGGATAGGCTCGAGGACACCATCCTCCGTGCCAGGCGTTTTCCTTCGAGCGCGATTTAACGAGTGGTGCCGAAAGGAACAAAAATGCACTTACGAGGTGTAACCAGCAAGGAAATGGTAGCTTGCTTGATCTGGGGAAAGTTTACTTACAGGGGGAAGAACACCGAACGCGTCGCATGTCAACATGATGATGTTGCTCGGTTGTCTGTCCACCATACATGGGATCTTGGCGTTTGGAATGTATTCAATTGGGTATGCGCAGCGTGTGTTCTCCGTGATGCCAACATCATCATAATCCGGCATGCGCGATAAAGGGTTGTATACGACGTTCTCCAGAATAGAGCCGAAACGAATGGCGTTGAATATCTCCGGCTCTTTCTCGCTCGAGAGGTTGATGCACTTGGCATAGCATCCTCCCTCGATGTTGAACACTCCAGTGTCCGACCACACATGTTCATCATCACCGATGAGAAGGCGGTTTGGATCGGCGGAGAGTGTAGTTTTTCCAGTTCCAGAAAGACCGAAGAATAGGGTAACATCACCCTTCTCCATCCCGACATTGGCAGACGAGTGGAGGGAGAGCTGACCAAACTTCACAGGTTGAAGATAGTGCATGACGGAAAAGACTCCTTTCTTCATCTCGCCGGCGTACTCAGTGCCGAGGATAACCATTTCCATGCGCTTGAAGTTGATTTCCACCGACGTGGTGGAGGACATGCCCTTGGTAAAGCGATTTGCAGGGAATTGACCAGCATTGTAGATAATGAAATCGGGCTCGCCAAAACTTGCGAGCTCTTCTTCGGTCGGGCGGATCAACATGTTGTTCTACCAGGTTGTCAGGAAAGGAAATACATTTGATTGTGGTTACATACCATAAAGAGAGCATGATATGCACGGGCACAAATGACCCGGACCTTGATACGGTATTTGGGATCCCACTAAAAACAGTGAGTGCTGCAAGCTAATGCAGTTGGAACACGGGACTTACACCAGCAAAACCATCGAAGACGTAGACATTGTCGCGTGTATTCAAATAGTCGATAGCACGCTCACGGTTGATCTCAAATGTGTCTAGAAACAATTGCTGAGACACAGGACCGATGTGCAACGGAGTAAACTCACGCTCATCCATCTTGATATTCACAGAGCCCCACCATATATCATCCTTACTTGTCTCCTCATAGACGATTCGCTTGTCTTTAGGACTTCTACCAGTCTTCTTACCAGAAAAGTTGATGAGGGCGCCAGAGGAGGAGATAATTGCGCCTTCATTGCGGATAGCATCTTCGTAAAGCTGGGCAACAGGTGCGTTGCGCTTTAGTTGGATCCTGTCCATGTCAAACCCTGCCTGCGAGAAATACTCGAGGTCGCGGCCGATGACTGTTTGAAACATTTAGTAGATAGGAGATATAAAATTGGGGAGCACTGACGGTTACTATGGAATTCATTGTCAAAAGCTTGAGCATAATTTTTGTGCAAGATGTGAGGTGTAACGTAGGGTGTCTGGTGAGGATGAACCATTGTGGTGAATGAATACGAAGGAGTCTGCTGAACTAGTTGGTCAATAAATATTTTAAAAGGTGTAAAGTCAAGACAATAAAACAATCATAATGATGATGATGATGATCCGTGCAAGATCCGTGGTGGCGAAGCCCGGAGCCCGCCTGTTTGGGTACCCCGCATGCGATGACTTATGCGGCTAGCATTAACGGCAACAGTGACGAGCACTTACTCTACGATGTGAATCACAATAATGATCGCGAATAAGAAGATGGCGGTTGAAACGGTATGCGAAACCCGAGTTTTTGGAGGGCTTTATACCAACGACGAGCCATTGCCGGAACATCCCATAATCTCCCGATGGCGACTCTACTAATTAGAGCCCCTTTCGGTCCTCGATTTTCTACCTCTTTTGTGCCTCGTTTAGTCTGGTTTCTAGTGATAAACATCATTTCCCGCTTGGCAACTTGTTCAGCACCAATCATCTAACCTCCTTGGAGTACGCCCCCAATAGTTCAATGCTCCGGTTCACTCCGGGCGATACGTACGACGGGACACCGCCTGAAACCGCCGGAACAAGTAGGGACCAGGGTCAATATCGATTGGACTGATTTTATCACGAAGTGGAAGAGAAGGCAAGTATGTATGTATGTCGCGGTGGTAGCTTGAGGTAAGAGGTGCGAGATTTGCCAGCACACTTATCATTGAGATTTTGGCCACGAACTTCAGGGAAAATTCTTCCAAACCTCTTGAAAAGCCCAGCCTTTCAGGTAGTGATATTCCCGGCTACTGTCTCGCGGGTTTGTTCAGAGTTGGTGATCTTCATAAATATGTTATCCAAAGGTCCGTCCGCTTTTCTCGATGTCCGCATACACTGATAATAATACATATATTGCTTCCTCAGGATCAAACGCTCCGTCTTTCCAGTACCTTAGGTAGACGCACCTGGCCCAGTCCGATAGATCATAGAACTTGGCCCAGTGGCACATGCACTGATCCACGTGATCCACGTCTTTCATTTCCGATGCACACAAAGTTCACATACTTCGAGAGCGGACTGACTATCATCCGTGTTATCAGTACAAAAGGAGGCCACATTGTTGCGCTCATCATTTTTCACCCGGCCTTCGAAAATATCTCTCTTGCGCATAGCGGGAAATTCTACGACGATGTAGACCCCATGTTTCACTCCCACTCGCAAAATCGACGCAAATGTCGTGGCTGATTAAGTCCGCTGTCTCACCCCAATGTCCTGTATTCGCACAGTGATTCGTCCCAGGGCAAGATTATCTTATCCTCACAGTCTTGTAGGATATGATTTAGTATGCATATAATTCCTTCATGCAAAGTTGAGGTCCACAATAATGTCCTTCGCGTTCATCAGAGAAGCGTGTCTTGCGCCGAGATTGCGCGATCCGCAAAGCAAGCGACCAAAATTGAGGAAGCTTAACAGGAGCTATCGGATGTGTTGGATTGAGGTGAGTAAGAATCTGCTTAAACCAAAGAAGTCTCCGATCCTCTCTTTACTGACTTCGCGTGATTTCCTCCAAAAGTAGCTGGTTATGTACCCTTGAAGACATTCCTTCTTTCGTTCACATTTTATTTAATATCTGGGTCGGCTGTTGCCACAAAGCTTATGATGCGCTGGCCTCGTCAACTCAGGTGGTCGTTGTGGGTGACGTGGTATACACCGTGCGAGCCAAGGTAGTTATGAACTAGAGGGACTGTTGAATTGGTGGATACAACCGCCGGATGTTTAAGTAATTGGCTCGCACTTTCAGTCGGGGTCAAGGTGCTGCAACCCTTGTCACGACTAGGGCCAGGGCATTAGATTGCAAGATCTAGCAAACACCTGAGCCCTCGATCTCAAAACGTGGTGAGCATTGACATATTCGTCTGAACCTCGCAGTTCGCCGCAATCTAGATCTCAAGTGTAGTGCAAAGATGGACCATCATCGATTCCACTATGTTTCGCATATATATACCCGTTTGTCAAATATCTCGCTCATCACACAGCGTGGAATCGACATAGCACTCAGGTGTGGATACCGCTATGTCCAAGGATCGAATATCACTGACTACAGAGACGTTCCTATAGTCTAATATAATATGGCGAATATCGTGATCTTTGGAGAAACAGGAGCGGGCAAAAGTTCTGCCATCAACCTGATGTCCGGCCGACAGATTGCGCACATATCGCTCGACTCTCACCGCTTGTACTCTGCATTGGACGGAGTATCCAATAACCTTCGAAAATGGGACTCGATACAAGGTGTTTGATACGGTCGGCCTCGAGGAACCCCGTCTACAAACCGGAGACTATCTCACTGCAATTTCAAACGCATATAGCCTCATCAACACCTTGAAAGAACGTGGAGGTGTTAACCTCTTGCTCTTCTGTGTCCGCGGAGGTAGAGTGACAGCAACCATGCAGAGCAACTATAGGTTGTTCTTTGAATTTCTCTGCGAGGAAAAAGTCCCGCTCGTGCTGGTCGTCACAAACCTCGAAAGAGAGATAAATATGGAAGATTGGTACACGCGGAATGTGGGCCACTTGGAGAAATACGGCATTAGGTCCGTGGGACATGCATGCATAACTGCGGCGAATCTACTCGACGGGAGGCATAGAGACAAGTATCAGGAGTCGCGTGGCATACTCCGTGGAGTGATTGAAGCTCACTGTAACGATTTCATGGAAGGGTGGACTGGCGGGCAAGGATGGCTTGCTTCATCCATCAGCAAACTCGTGGAATATGTCGCTGGGCGTCCCAAGAAGACAGATATCATTGGAGTTCTAACAAAACGATGCGGGATGACCAAAGAAGTGGCTCATCAGGTGGCGCAGCAGATCAGAGGCGAAAACCTACCGCAAACGACGATTGAGAATTACGGTAACCCGCCAGTCCCTTCGGATGTAAGAAATACAAGTCCACAACAGGTTCGTGCACTGTGAAATCGGTCAACAGATGGTTGATACCTCTATAGGGATATGAAGGTCGACCGCGTAACGTAGTGCTCTGGGGGGACAGTGGAGTGGGCAAAAGCTCACTCATAAACCTCATTATGGGCCGTGACGTAGCGGAAACATCTCCTGACGCCCTGTCATGTACTGTTACACATGCTGCATATGATGTGACGATCAGCGGGCAATGCTTCAGGCTGTGGGATACGGCAGGTAGGCGTTCTTTCACTGAGGTTTGGGGACAGAGCAGATCGATAACCATGTCGTTAGGGTTAAACGAGGGCTCCGAGGGCAGAGTTCCTGCGGCTGCAGCTACAAGGAGGTTGGCTCTATTCCTCAGTGGCCTGAACAGGGCAGATGGTGTCCATCTCCTTATGTATTGCGTGCGCGGAACGCGAGCCGCAAAAGCTCTGCGAACCAACTACCAGACCTTCTCATCAGCCATCGGTGACAGCAAAGTGCCCATCGTTATCGTGGCGACGTGCCTGGAAGACTGGCGTCCAGTGATGACAGAGTGGTGGAATCAGAACAAGGACCAGCTTGCGAAATATGGGATGCATTTCCCTGGATATGCTTGTGTCACCACTCTGCCTGGTGGACGCGCGGAATCCCAGGATTTACGACAACGTCGTGCACAGTCCTACGAAGACGTTTGCAAACTCATTTTAGACCATTGTTCGCAGGCCCCTCACAAAAATTAGGGCCCTGCAGGTATCAACGAAACGACGATATATCGTAGTTCCTCGCGATTCTACTCAGAAATTGGCTTTTTTGTGGGAAGATCAGGGGGCGTGGTACTGTACGTAGAGATATGGACTTACTTCGGCGTAATCTGCGTGTGACAAACTGAACCTTAACTCCAAAGACAGGTGTGACATGTGACACCTCAGAATCGTTTGGTGGTCGTTTTTCACTAATGCTATTGAAGTTGCCAATGAAGGAAGAGATTGATTTCTCGTCACGGTAAGCTTGCAGTACACAGTGAATCCTCAGTACAAAAACGATGGACCCTTCGAAATTAATATCACTTTTACAATGCTGGCTCAGTGTGACAGTCACTTTGGACGTGTGACAGTGTAACGAGTTAAGGTAGCCAACATGCCATCTCAATTCTCGACTCTCTAGCTCACTTTCGAAGCCAACCTCCTGCGACACAGCATGCGCTTTTTCCCTGTTCACAGCACAGCTGTTTCCCAAAAACATATTTTTCTGAGGCATCCGTGACTGTCTGAGTATCTTAATGGATCTAAGTACCAAAGCCCATCATGATTGAGTCATACAATGACTCGTGTATGTGATAACAGCTTTATCTCCTGCACGTGTCCATCTTCTGGTGATTCTGTACACGTACTTGCGCGTGTGGACAGGCTCTGGTATGAAATCTAATAACGCCAGAACAAAAAGATTTGCTGAAAAGGTCATCGCAGATCTTCTGTGATTGGTTGTGACATATTACTTTGCGTAGGAATCGCCCGCGATACACAACAACGTGTCGCTAACAGCTGTGTATGCGGACATCTGAAGGCGTTTTCTCCTCTCATCATGCCGTGGATTACGACTTCAAGCTGCGGTCGTGATGCACTGTACGTTGACACACGCGTCCAAGAAGCCTTTGAAGCGAAAGCCGGCGCATAAAAACAGAGGTCATTCTGAGGTTGTGTCCAATACGCCTCTAGCATCCAATCTACCATGGATTTACTTCGCAATCGACGCAAACAAGCAGCCTCAACGGAGCCCTCGATCGAGCCCTCTATTGATGTAACCGTGACGTCTCTCCCTTCCCTCTCTGGTTCCGCGAGCCCTCCGGAGCCATGGGAGGAAGTGGACATATCATCTTCCGACTATGCCCGCAGGCGCAGGGAGCTTATGGAGATGATGGTTGACCTCCGATCCATGGGGTGAATGATTATGGATCTGACTGTACCTGCGGATCGCTCACGCTATCTCTTGCAGTGCTGACTCGTTGATCGCATTACCATCCGTAGTCGTAATTGGTGGCCAATCCGGTTTGTGGTCACCTCCCTTTGCACCCACAGCTATACTCAACTGAAATTTCAGCGGGCAAAAGTTCACTCGTCGAGGCCGTCAGTGGGGTACGTCGGCAGATAGCTTGTTATTTTATCCCTTGATTCATTTTTTTCTTTATGATAAAGATCAATGTCCCGAGAGATAGCGGAACGTGTACAAGGTGACCCTAATAACTACTAGCTATTGGGGGTATGCTCATACTACTATTTACAGATGCCCTATGGAATGTAACATGTCTAGTCATGCCACATCGTGGTCCTGCACTATCACTCTACGTTTCGGTTTCGATAGTAATGGCCTAGACCTCCAAAAGCCTACTAATGTGCAATTTGGCCGAACGATCACTGATAGAAGTGAATTCGAAGTTTGGCTGCGTCGTGCTCAGGCAGCCATTTTGAACCCAAACGTTCCTTCTTCGACTTTCCACACAAAGACCATCGAAGAACTCAGGAACATAAAAAATACATTAAAGTTCTCCCGCAACGTGGTGTGCGTCTCGATTGAAGATCCCGATGCGACTGACCTGTCATTCTATGACCTACCTGGTGAGTAGATGCTCATCTGGATTGAGACGACGTATCTGATGGGCAATGAAGGTCTAATACAAAACGAAGAAGCCGAAGTCGTCGCCTTGGTGAAATGTTTGGCAGAATATTATATCGAGAAAAAAAACACTATCATATTGACTACGATCCCATGAGTGGTACGTGCATGAACTGCAAAGTTATTTCTACTGGATTGATGGGCGCAATGCCAGATGATATGGAAAATCAACAATCCATGAGTCTTGCCAGGGCCGCAGACCCCAATGGAAAGCGAACAATTGGTAAGTCATCCATACTGCAGGATGAATAAATGACTTAAAGTTCTTCAGGCGTACTTACGAAGCCCGACACGCTCGGTACTGGAGCTATCAACCAGCGTCGCAAATGGATAGAAATCATTGAAGGTCGTTCGGAGGAGCACACACTAAGACATGGTTTTTACTGTGTGCGTCTTCCCGATGATGCCGAACGTGCACAACGCCTGTCTCGTGCTGAATCGCAAAGGCGTGCTGCTGAATATTTCGACACGACGTCGCCCTGGAAAGATGTGATCGACCGTCGTCGGTTCGGAATTCCGGGCTTTGTCTCCGATATAAGCCAACTGCTCATTCGATTGATCGAGGAAGCGTGCGTTGACCTTGTTCTAGCTGATTCGCTATAAAGCATTTACATTGTTTATAGTTTGCCGCGTCTCAGAGAAGATGTCGACGCGCTCCTCGCCAAATGTACCAAGGACTTCGATGAACTGCCCCCACCACTTGAAAACGACCCACAAATTGAGGTTTTGGGACGAATGAATGCGTTCTGCGATGACTTCAAGAGCTTTGCGAATGGTAGTCACGAAGATAAACGTCTTGCGCAGCGGAATCGTGCTCTCTATGCTATTTTCAAGAGGGATATACGCGGCACCGCTCCTGACTTTAGGCCTTTCAATGATCCGGAAGACTATGTTCCACTGGACGATACTGAAGAGAATATGACTCTTACTGAGCGAGACCCAGGCGTGAAAATGATGGGCATATATGATATCCGCAAGGCCATCCAAGAGTTTGTTTTCGTATTTTGTTGCAGTTGGGCGGCAAGCTTAACCATTCATCAAGGGCAATTGGATGGGAGCTTCCGAACAACGTGCCATATCAGGCAAAGGCAAACCTCATTGCTCAATTCACCAAACTTTGGGTTACTCCGTCTGAGCGCTGTCTTGTTGGTGTCAATAATGTACTTGATCAAGTCATCGACGCACTCATAAGCACCCATTTTGGACGCTTCAAAGTTCTTGAGGAATACTTTGGGTAAGCGTTGACTCCTCACTATCATTGCCCGGGCTCAAGTTGTCTTTGAAATTAGCAATTTGATTCGAATCCAAGTTGACATCTGCAAGGCGCGTGCCCGAGGCGCTGTCAAAACAGCCTTGGATCTGGAAACCACTACTCCGCACTATACTCAGAACACGCACTATCTTCAAACACTCCGTGAAAAATGGTTGGGTCATTATAAGAGAGTTCGAAGTAGACCTTCTATGTACAGGGCTCCCATCCGTCACATTGAGGAGGTCGTGGAACCCATGGTATCGAAACCCCGTTTGACCAATATCCCCAATCGTTCAACTTCCCCAAGTCCTGATATCGATTCCCCACCTCCGTTCAAGGAATTTATGTACAATGGGTCTTCTATGACTGGTCTTGTCAAGAGTCCTGGGAAGCCTAATGGTCCCAAGTTGGAGACTCCCGAGGCCAAAGCTTTGAGGGCTCTTGCAGAAGCGGGGTATGCGGGTCTTCGAGTTTCAGATCTTGCACGGTTGTTACCTCCCGACTCATTTGAGGAAGAGCTGGTTGTGATGGCTGACGTTCGAGCCTATTATCACGTTGCCTACAAGGCGAGTCTCACTCATCATCTCCGTTTCAACGCGCTTATCACCTCGAGCAGCGCATCATTGACCATATTCCTTTCACGATCGAGCATGCTCTCCATCATGCCCTGGCAAAACAACTTTCTACAGAGCCTTCTCACGAGCTTGCTGAGCTGATACGACATCTGGGCCCAACTTCTCTGAGCGTATGAAGAGTTAGTTAGCGAAGATGCTTCCATCGCTCAGAAGCGCCTAATGCTCTCGACAAGAAAAGAACGCCTATTGAACATTCGCCGGAGACTCATGACCTTCAGCAATAGTATTTGATCACTGTGAGGCGTCAGCGGCGTATGTTCGTTTTTGGACTTTACCATGTAGATATTCTTTACCTCCTGTCTGTGATTGGCTGTGTTGTTGCTGCTGTATTGTACTGTTATGTGCTCGAGCGTTGTTACATTTCATACTAAGAGTCTGATTCTTTGCTCATTTCGGTGCATTGCTGCCTACAACTCATGATAGCAAGAAGGGTCTCTGAGGTATGTGCATCGACTGGATTCGTGAAGCTCCGAAGAGTCGGTAAGGCAGGAGTACGCAGTACACATGAAGTCCGGTCATTATTACATAATCCGGCAAATAAACTGTGCCGGTCAGCTGCTGTGACAGCATCGACTCCGGACGTTAGCTAAGTCGTGCTCTACTAGTTTTGATAACTCTCCGCGCAACTAAGAGTAACGCATCGTGCAGCGTCCAGTGACCTATTTCCGCGTGCCAATTCAGTCCTCTCCGTTATCAATAATCAGATAGCTCATCAACGATATCTACTACTACGCCCCGGATCATTGTGCAATTTGGCGCTCGCGCACATCATCAGAACATTCAACACACACTCATCGTGGCATGCAACCATAACAGTGTTTTACTTTCGTGAGCCTTCTTCTCTCCTATCGTTTTCTGCAGATTCTGAGGATTCCGATTATTCGCCAGCTACTAGCTGTCGCAAACCATCCCGTCACGAATTGACACCATCCATGGCTTCGATCCGCTGGAAGCCACAAATCACGTATCGCTCCCCCACCACAGGGACAACTGCTCTCCATCTAGAGGTGCCACCAGTTGGCTCTCATGCATCTTCGTCAAGCCATTCTCCCTCCCCTCAATCGCTTCAGCATTGGACAATCCACCAGTTCAGTCATTCTAAGAGACATAAGAGATGGATGATAGGCCCTTCACTACCACTTTATCATCCTCTTGGTCGTCTTGCCCTATCTCTCCCCGATTTGGATCCAACTGCGTTCGGGCTCCCCGCGCCGGCAGTAATAATGGATGATCCCACGCGTCGATCTTCAAATCGCGCGCGTCGGCCCGCACCCAAAGTACGCGACGCAAATGAGCCAGCTCCCTCCCCTGTCCCCTTCATCGATGTCACCCCTGCTCCCGAGCCAGAACTCAAGGAAAAACCTAGTTCCCGCAGGAGGCGCCCTGCTGGAAGCGGAAACAAAAGAAAGCGCAGAGAAGTTGATGACGGTGATGCGACATATCCTGCCAAGCGCTCCCGCAACCCAAGGAACTCCGCTGCCAATGCTACGGCACGCACTCCTACCACCGGAGAACCTTCTCCTCCCTACTCTGTTGATAATTCTGCTCTTTCCCCTGCACCTGATGACCCTCCGGAAGAGAAACGGCCCGAACGCCGGTCCACCAAGTCACGTGGTATCCCTCCTCGTAGGGATTCTTCGGGAAGCGAGGCAACTGTCACTTCAGTGTCAGCCTCAATTATCGCGGGCAGCGCTGCACTTCTCAAAGATAACAGTGAAGATGCTCTGGATATCGACTACTTCGCCATCCAGCGGGCCTAAGGACACTGAGCGTACCACCCGCAGCGGAGACCTCAGCAGCAAAGATGCCAGTTCAGATGGAGGTGGTAAAACCGCCAATAACGTTCCAGGGTAGCGCGGCATTTCCTTCGTGGCTCTTGTATATATGTAAGAGACATTTTGGTTTATTAAACGATATGCATTCCTTGTCTATTGCTATTTGTTCCTGACCATCTTTTTACTCGTTTTCTCTCATCGTTAATATTTACCAGTTCGCCTCTTAGTATTCATGTGCTTACTCCCTCGTATTCTCTCGTTGATTTATGATTGGCTTACAAACAGGTGAAAGTTTTATGAATATCTATACTGTTTCAACAAGACTGATCTGGAATGGCAAATTGACGGATGGCAATCATGATGAATAATTAATATTCGAGTAATAATGGTGGGGAACTGGTCTTCGTGCAATGAAAACAATCATTATAACTGTTCCTTCTGAATCATGTAAGTAGGACGGGAACGGATAGCAGCTTCTGGTGAGTCCGTGGCGCCGCTCGAGAATGGCATCGGGTTCTTAGATTCGGTTCTGAGAACCAATCATACAACAATTGAACAAACGTAGATGCGGTAACTGCCGCCTTCTCTCTCAGTAGAACAACGATCATCATCATTTTGTCAGATTGCGATGAAGAGCAGCGATAGCACTTGAAGCGCCGGTGCTTGCCCACCGGGAGTCACTGCGGGTAGTGCCAGCCCGTTCGAGTCGATTGATCAATGCAATGCAGTGATAGGCCTATTCAAGGTAGAATCACTTATCATATAGATTAGTCTGGCTCACCATTTTGAAGTCCCAGCACCGCTTTGTTGTCAGCGCTAGCGCTTCGTCCCGGCATGCAGCACTCGTCTTATCTAGATTCTATATAATGAATTGCCTCCATAATCCGCCTGCAATGTGTCGCTAAATATACTCCCTATAGCCAGTACTGTGCCACCGATCGTATCCTGGAGTAGCGTAACAGTCGATTCAATCATCCAATACTGCTGCAGGAGTGCCGCAAGGTCCAGTGATGTATACGCAGGATGGTTGTTACGCCACACAGTGTCGCATGGAACACGTTGCATCCATGCGTTGTGGGGATTTTCATATCTAGCGCTTGAACCGTATCGACATCTGTTCTAACGAACTGGGGATATTACTGGTGCATGAAAAACGCCGAACACGCAAGTCAAGATCCCTCCTCCCACTGAATATTGTCCGCAGTCGAGTCATCTTTGAAATGTCGTCGTTTTGTGGTGGAAGACTACCTGCTGTGAGTCGCGTTTTGCCCTTCCTCAGCATAAAGTTAACCCGAAGTTAGCTATACACCCAAAGTCAGAGCGCAGCTTCGCACCACACAGAAAGATGCAATGTTGTCATTTTCGGAGAAACGGGTGCTGGTAAAAGCTCCTTGATCAATTTGGTCGCTGGGACGCAAGCGGCACTGACATCCTGCGACTCTATGGGATGTACAACTGGAACCAATGTGTATGACGTTTCAATTCAGAACGAGACCTTGAAGGTAAAGCTTTTCGATACCAGTCGGTTAGTGCAGTTAGCCGCTCTTTGGTGTGTGTTACTGAACTGGATTACAGGTCTTGGTGAGGGTCCTGAAGGAAAAGTCCCCGATAAGGACGCTCGAAGAATTTTGAAGAAGCTCCTTCGAGATCTCATGAAGCAAACTGATATTCATCTCCTCATGTACTGCGTGCGGGGTGTGAGAGCGACGAAGGCGCTCTGCCTGCAACTACGATCTAGTCCGCTCCGAAGTAAGGGAGAAAGCTCCAATCGTTCTTGTCGCCACAAGTTTAGAAGACAAAGGACCAGAAATGGAAGAATGGTGGAGGGACAATGAGCGAACCATCTCAGACTTCGGGATGACCTTTGCTGGTCACGCATGTGTCACTACGGCGACTATCGACAAGTATGCAGAGGATAAGCTCAAGCGGCGCCACAAACAGTCGTACCATGCCGTCTGTCAACTTATCGAGCAGTATCGCTCGTCAGAAAGGGTTCAAACTCCACAGTTAAATGTCGGTCGATGGCTACACGGTACTATCCAGCAGATATCAACGATGACCACAAGGTACGTAGTTTTGGGATACTCGTGCACATATTTTGCCAACATCGATGAGCAGGAAAAAGCATAAAGATATCGTACTCGCTTGGGAGACGGCGGCAAGCGCTGGTTCACTCGTTAATCACGTGGTGGTAGGGGAGGTGGCACCCACAGCTCCTGACTTGCGACTCTGTACACTGCAGTATATAGAGACTGTCGACATGGATGACGAGATTTCAAAGGCATTCGAAACCATTCGACTCGAGGACCCGCATCTGGAAATAAAAGAGCACTCGATCCCTCCCGAAATGGGTGCAAGGTGCGTGTTCGTCAGATGCTCCTCGTGCTGTATTTTGTCAACATTGATAAGTAGAGACGAGGATCAAAGTATCATACTCGCTGGGGAGACGGCCGCAAGCGTTGATTTACACGTCAACCTCATGGCGGGAGACGAGGCAGCGTCCACAGCTCCCAACATGCAACGCTGCATGTTGCAATGTTCAGAGACTGTCGACTCCGATGACGAGACATTCGAGGCGATCGATACCATTCGACTCGAGGACCCGCATATTGGAATCAAAGAGTACCCTATCACTCCCGACATCGATGATGGGTGCGTAGTCTTCAGAGGTTCCTTGTGCCATGCTTTGCTAACAATGATGAGTAGGAACAATGATATCGTACTCGTGGGGGAGACAGTGGCAAGCGATGGTTCACGCGGCAACCTAGTAGTCGGAGGCGGGGTAGCTGACATAGGACGCTGTATGCTGCAATGTTCAGAGATTGACAACTCAGATGACGAGACTTCCTCGGCGTTCGAAACTATTCCACTCGAGGACCCACACCTGGGAATCAGAGAACCGACATTAATGAGTCGGAACAATGATATCATACTCGCTGGGAAGACAGTGGCAAGCAATGGTTCTCTTGTCAACCTCATGGAGGGAGATGTGGTAGCACGCACAGCTCCTGACGTGCGACGCCATGTGCTACAAAGGTCGGAGACCGTCCACTTGGATGACAAAACTTCCAAGGCGTTCTTACGCCTTGTGGACCCGTGTTTGAGAATTAGAGGATACACTATTATCCCTCCCCAAATAGGTACAAGGTGCATAGTCTTCAGATTCTTTTGGTACCATGTTCGTCTAATTTGATTGGTAGGAACAAGATTTCAAGTAATGTGTTATTTCGTCGACTCGAGGACCTGCATATGGGAATCACAACGTTTCTTGTCCCTCCCAACATGTATGCAAGGTGTGTAGTCTTCAGGCGCCCCCTGTACCACAGTTTGATTTTGTTAGTGGGAACAAGCATACAACTATGATGCTCTCTTGGCGAACTGGAGTGAGCGAAAGTTTACTCGTCAACATCTTAGCGAGAGAGAAGGTAGTGCACACAGCTCCTGACATGCGATATCGTCTGCTGCAGTGTACAGAGACCATCGACTTAGACGACGAGACTTCCGCCGAAAGCATTCGACTTGAGGACTTACATCTGGGCATGATAGAGTGCCTTATCCCTCCTAGAATGGGTGCAAGGTGCGTAATCTTCAAATGCTCTTCGTACCATACTCTGTCTAACTTGAACAGTAGGAACAGACGTGAACTTACCGTGCTCTTTTGGCAGACAGGAGCAGGCAGAAGGTCACTCATCAACCTCATGACGGGAGAGGGGGTAGCATTCACACCTAATATGCAACGCCATATTCAATATTCAGAAACTGTCGACTTGGATGACAAGAATTCTAAGGTGTTCCCACGTCTTGAAGATCCGTACCTGAGCATCAGAGGATACCATGTCCCTCCAAACATTGGTGCAAGGTACGTGGTCTTCAGATGCTCTCCGCATTGTAGTTGTCTAATTTGACCAGGAAGGAGCACAAAATTATTGCGTTCTTGTGGCAGACGGGAACAGGCAAAAGGTCACTCGTCAACCTGATGACTGAGAAAGGAGGTAGTCCTACAGGTCCTGACATACGACACCGTATGCTGCAATGTTCAGACACTGCCAGCTTGGACGGCGAGATTTCCAAGGCGTTCTTACGCCCTGAGGACCCGCATCTGAGAATCAGAGGATATCCTATCCCTCCCAAAATGGCTGCAAGGTGCGTACTCTTCGCATGCTCTTCGTATCATAGTTGTCTAATTTGACTAGTATGATCAAGCATATAAATATCGTATTGTTGCAGCAATCGGGAGCAGGCAAAAGCTCACTTGTCAACCTCATGTCGGGAGAGGAGGTAGCTTCCACAGCATCTGGCATGCGACGTCGTATGCTGCAATGTTCAGAAACCGTCAACTTGGATGACAAGACTTCCGAGACATTCTTACGCCCTGAGGACTCGCGTCTGAGAATTAGGGAATGCCCTATCCCTCCTAAAATGGGTGCAAGGTGCAGTCTTCAGATGCCCTTCGTTCCATAGTTGTCTAATTTTATTAGAAGGTCCAAGCATCAAAATATCGTGCTTTTTGGGGATACTGGAGCAGGAAAAAGTTCGCTCATCAACCTCATAGCGGGAAAGAAAGTGGCGCGTACATCTCCTGACATGCAACGCTGTACGATGCACTGGAAGGAGTATAACATCGACTTCGGCGATACATCTTACAAAGTCTTTGATACCGTTGGACTCGAGGCACCGCAACTGGGAATCAAAGAGTACCTCGAGTTTATCGAGAACGCCTATCGGCTCATTAAACAATTGGATAAACAAGGCGGCATTGATCTACTTTTATTCTGCGTTCGCGCCGGCAGAGTTACTGCTACGCTGCAGAGAAATTACAGGCTCTTTCACGAATTCCTCTGCGATAAGAAGATTCCCATTGTCCTTGCGATCACGAACCTTGAAAGAGAGAAGAGGATGGAGGATTGGTGGGAGAGAAACAAAGGCACCTTCGACAACTATCAGATAAAGGTTGCTGGTCATGCGTGCATCACCGCCGCCAATAGATTGGACGGCAGACACAAAGACCTTTATGAAGAATCGCGCGTCACGATCCGCAACCTTGTTGAGAAATTTACTGCAAACGAGCAGAAGCAAGCTTGGTCAGGAGGGGATAATCTGTTCGTGTCGTGGACACGTCGGCTGAAGGAATTCCTTCAGGGGAATTCGCGTGTGAGAAGGAAGGATCTTGTCACTCATCTCACTAAGCGTTGCGGTATTTCTCGAGAAGTCGCAAAACGGTTGGCTGATATGATCAAGCATGACGTAGAAGCTACTTGACCTTACCCTTTCGACAGCTTTATGCTCACTCGATTATGAAAATTTATTTTGCCCTTGTCGTTAATGTATCAACAAATGGATTGATGCCATGTACGTATTCCAACGCTCTCCATATGTGAATACGGTAGATGATTGGTACCCGGTCCAGCTCCCAGCGAGGAACAGGCCTCAAGATGAAATAGGTTCAATGAACTCCGAGAACCAATACAGAGAACGTAAATGCAGTGGTGATTGAGATGCACGTTCTCCGGCAAAGTAAAACAACGAATTGTAGATGGCAGCGATAGTGAAATAAGTATAGCTCGGCACTCGGATACGAACTTTGTACTTGTGGTATAGGAAGTTCGAAGGATCGCAATGACGCTCACGTTGCACTTGATGCGGCCTGTGCTTCTTATAGGTCAGATCTAGAAACCGCTGGGTCGACCACTCATGTCCTAAGATAATAATAGCTGGATGTCGATAGACATATGGCACGTTCATTTGGTTCGATATGTAGATTGGGAGCTGCGGCTGGGCGTGTTTTTCCAGGTTTTTCCATCATGAATAAGCAAATTGAACATTCGATGATGAATAAATCTTCGTAAAGATGTTTGTTGGATCGGCAGCTATAATCCGTGAACATCGCGCTGAATAATTACCCAAGAACCCCACCGCCGCAACAAGTTGGAGATACAATCATAACTGAACGTAACTGGCAAATGCTGACGATGTCCGTTCCTTGTTTCAGATATGACCGTGACAATAAGGAGGCTTACCATAGTCCTGCGGCATAGCGTAGATAACAGCAAAAATTGGGCAGGCTCGGCAACAGAGGCAGGACCGTGCATGTGCGAACTCCCACTGAGGGTACCAGAAGCTGAGGGATCCAAAGATGCGGACTCATCGATGGACATTTTGTACACCTCATCGATGTGTCATATGAATATGACCAGTCTGCAACCGTCTTGTTCTATAATATAAGTTAGTTATTGAATTAGAGGTGCAGTTAACACAGCGAGAAGTGAAAAGTGATCACGAGCTCGTCAACGATTCACTAGATCATTTGCAAAATGACAATTAACCTCCTTCCGGCTTCATAGTGTGTACAGGTGTCTCGGTCGCTGTACAATTGGAAATTCGTCAGGTTCCTGCCCCACAAAGACTCGGACTACAAATTGGAAAATGCGGATTATCTGATATGTAGAGGTCGGCCGTTTAAATTCAAGGAGCACGTAATTTAATCGTGTGCAATGATAGACGAGCAAAGTACGTGATTGGACTGTTTTCGTATTGCATTAGTGATGAATGATGTCCATGATGAGCAGCCTGTGAGGGGTATGGCAATTCAATTGAATTCGGTATGTACGTGATTAGGACGTTACCGTGTGACTCTTAGCCGCCTAGCGCCGGGAAGGTCATGCCTCCGACACCGATGAGTCGGAGGCGACCATTGAACCTACTAGAGTGGGGATGCGTTGATCGCACCCATGTGCCAATACCCAACCAATATCGTTACGAAATGTCATTTGACCATTGGATGGCAGCTTCAAGCCTCGGAGTCCCTGGTACAACCTCAGAAAGCTGAAAGCGACTAGAATGACCTGACTCAGGCTGCAGTTCGGTACACACGGTAGTGCGTATATCCATATCACTATTGACCTCATTCGCCAACATTAAAGTTACAATTGTGCCCAGATTGAACCTCATTGGGCACCCGTGTCATTTATTCTGCCGTTCGCAATCCACGATAAGGTTCAACGTTCAACGTTACTAGCTCGATCGGAAGCACCGTTGTTTCCTACGGCTCTTGAGTCGGTCATCCCGTTGAGCATGGGCCAACTTGAAGCGTTTGGGCTGGAATCTACGAGGAAATTTGTTGTCCTTAGATTGTGAGTGAGCGCAACAGCAGCCAGCCCGTCCTGACTGTTCATGCTGAGCTTCAGACTTGGCTGCTAATTCAAAACAGGTTAGTCGTTCATCAACGTGACAGCATTTAATAAAATTTGATGTAGTCCGGAAAAGCATAGCCAATCAAATCCTTTCCCTCCGTCGCGTGTCAATGATGCACGTATAGTCTTTGTTTGGCATTGGATCAACTCAGTCGCGGAGTGACCCTGTTAAAACACCTTCGTGTCAACGGCTCATTGTCGTGATTTAAAGGGTGGCCAGTCTTGGACAAATGCCCTGCAAAGTTTCATTCTAGATCTGTAACGCTCTTTTTCTCGAAAGTCCTGTCGTCGGCTGCGTTCTCAAGTGGCCAGTCTGGGGTTCCCAACATTCCCGCGTGTCCAATTTCGCGTCTTTTAGCTCATCATTGTCTTCAAGTGACCCATTCTTTTACCTTCGACCCTGCGACATTCCCTCAACAGATGGAGGAGTTACCCTCAACGGGGAGAAGGATATACCGAGAAAAATTCAACAGCAGCACCCACACTCTTGGTGGTCAGTCAACCTTGTCATTGAGAGGTAATGTAGCTCTCGTCGGTCTACAACTTAGTTGGACATAACTCTACGTCACAGGTCATGCTGCCCCAATTGCAGGAACTGGCTCTGCCGGTGTTCAGCTAGAGTCAGACCCGTTCGCTGATCCCTTCGCCAGGACTACTCCGGCTGGAAATGCTCCTGTACATCAAACCGAGGCTGCTGTTCCTCAACCAGAGGGTCAACCAGCAGATACACATGCAGCGACAGTGCCTGTAGCTGCCCCTAGACTTCCTCTATATAAACGAAGATGGTTTATAATCATTTCAATCGTTGGTGCTTGTTTGGGAATCGCGCTGCTTTTCATCATTCTGTTCCCTGTACTCCGTGCAATTGTTCAGCATGTAATCAACCAAGCCACGTTGAATATCCAACAGGCGGCAATATTATCCCCTTCAAATACATCGTAAGTGTGCACTGCGATGCACAGTAAACGTGTTCACTTATTTATCATGCAGCTTCACTCTGGTAATGCTAGGCGTCGTAGGTATTCATGCTGCATTGTGATCGCATTTGTTGACCATCGGTTTCAGGTATCTCATACTGGTATTTTCTCCGCCACAGTGGCCTTCTCGCAGCCAGTAAACGTGAGCTGGATGAATGGTAGTGTTGAGGTACCTCTCGGCTATATGTCGCTTTCGACCCTGTATGCTTCCAATAAACGGGCAACAATCAATGATACCACGACCTTCTACATCACAGATCAAAACGCCTTCGGTCGCTTCACGAGTTCAATGATTACTTCACAAAACTTTACCTGGAAATTACAGAGTTCCAATCTGAATGTCCAGGCGATGAAGTTCCCCACCGCGCATGGTATTTCATTCAATAAGCTGGTGACTATCAATGGTGTAGTATTCTTATATTCACGTAGATTTTGGTGCAACTGACAAGGAATCTCGCTAAGGCATAAATAATTTTGCCGGCAATGTCATTCTCGAGGACATGCAATTACCCAGCGACAATCCTGGGGGAGGTATTGATTTTGTGGCGGTCACGCAGTTGAACAATACAAGGTATTCTTCAACCTAGAGCCTTCATTACATTCTGACATGATCATTTGGTATAGCCCTTTCGCATTGGGACTGGGAACAGTAGTTTTTGACCTTGTGTACCAAAATGTCTATCTTGGTACTGGAACGGGGTTCAATACCAATATTGTAGGTCCTACGTTCTAAATTCTCAATTCTGATCTATCAACTTGCTTCAGGTCCCTGGTCCTAATAACATCACGTTGAACGGTACTTTGGTACCCCAGACGACGCCTGCCAACCTTGCGACGGTCTCGCAGCTTTTCACCAATTACATCAATTTCGAAAGTTCGCCTGTCATTGCAATGGGCAAGTCAACACTGCAGCCTGATGGTTCACAGATATCTTGGCTTAGTCAGGGTTTGGAAAGCCTTCAGCTAGTAGTGCCCTTCAAGTCAACCACCCCGATCAACCCAATTCGGTCTATCCAGATAGGGAGCATGGCGCTTGCATTCACTCCAGAGACGGCATGGACCCCGCGAACGGATAGTAACTCAGTTCACGCGACGATGCGTGAGTGATTTGTGTGAAAGCGGTGTTGTCATCATGTTTGACTTGAGCGCAACAGAATTGCCTTTTGGGTTTGGCTTGTCTATCGACCAGATCCAGAATGAGTTTACAATTGTCAAAAACGGTTCAAATGTAGCGGGTTTGAATACGGTATGATCGTCCATTACATCTGCAATTTGCCAGTAACCGTCTTTCTATGCAGCCCCTGGGTGCATCTACGTCTTCAATCACTGTGCTGAGCCCGACAGACACCGAGGGCACCATTAACATCACCATTTTAAACAGTGTTTTGAATGCCACAGATCCCGAGCATGATAGTTTCGCCACATTCAGTAAGTGTGTTGTTTTCGAATGGTGCAATCGGTAATCGTATATTTTGTAGACATGGAGCTTACGGATTCTACCACAACTGACTTCCTGCTGGTCGGTAATTCTCGCGCGGTCGCGAACACGAGTATCGGTCAAATTACTCTGGACCCTATCAAGGTCAACGTGTCGACCAGTCTCAATGGCCTGCAAGGTCTGAAGGGGTGTACTACTATTGGGGCTGTCGACGTTATGGGTGGGACTCAGCAAGCCCTTAATCTTAGCATCGATGGCAAGAAGGCTTCTTGGCTGTTGTCAAATTGTGGCTGATTTCGTCCCAGTATCCATCTATAATCCTTCCAATCTTGATCTCGCTACTGGCGATCTACGTTAGTGGTGGCAGTCGATTGAAGTATAAGAATCTGAAATTGATATACTCCTTGTCACAGAACTCCAGCTGCAACGCGGTGGTGCAATCCTCGGAACGGCACTGATGCCCAATTTGACAATGAGCATGGGGAATAACTCGGTTCACTCGACATCTGCTTTCGATGTACGGCTGTCTATCGCCTCTGCCCACCACTTCTCAGTTAACCACGTTTACAGCCTAATAACTCACCCGAAGGATTGCAAACACTCAGCCAGTTTGTTGGCGGTCAAGGTATGTCTTGAATCTTTGTCTTCAAGAGAGGGAATAATTAGGTTGCCAGATGTGGAGCTTAACATCGTGGGCTACAGTGGGAGTACACAGGTCGCTTCTCTCCTGGAGGCCTTTGAAAGTATGAACATCACCGTCACGCTCCCTGGCCTCAACTCCAGTCTTTTGTCGACGGGTTCTTTGGAGAGTGAGTTGGACTGCTTGTTTTCGGACCAACTGTTAAACGATTGAATAGTCCTTCCTACCACTTTTGTTACAAACAACATCAGTCAAGTCACCGTAGCGCTCGTCAATCCTTTCACTGCAGGCTTCGACATCACCAGTATCTCATCTAACGTCACCTCGCATGGCCTGTACCTTGGTTCCATCAATACTGCCACGAATTTCAACTCTGCAGGGAAATCGACCACGAAGTCTCCCGTTCTCAACATGACCATGAACTATGATCCGCCAACGCTCTTCACACTGACTCGCGTACTTGCCATGCAGGCAGGTTTGGATCCCACGCAACTGGATGGCATTGTAGCTCTTGGGGATTATCAGTATGTAACTGCCACGACGGCGGACTCCGAGCCAGTTCCTCAGCAACAACGGCGAGCTAACATATACACGTAAATTCTACAATTTTCTTTCCGCTTCTGATACTAAATCAACTGTTCAGGGAATTTAATCTGCCGAATTTTGTTGACCAAGCGTTCAAGCAGTTGAGGAGTGACATACAGCTATCTTCACAGCTTACGATTGGTTCGAATTTTGCCGTAAATTTGCTTTCGATTATTCATAGCAGTACTGTTGCAGGGAACTACGCGACGACACTCAGTTATACTCAGACTGATGTCCCCATTTCCACGGACAGCAGCCTCAACTTAATCCTGCCCATCTTGGCGAAACCTATCGTCCAGAAGGTTGTCGGTGGCAGCGTCTTGGGGTAATTGACATTGATTTCTTTGTAGCCAACTTTTGCTGAAATTGTGTTGCAGTGTCGAATCTGTTCTCATCACTAACCCCCAGGAGACGATGTTTGGTACGTGTCTGAGAGTGATGTCTTGCATGTCTTACCAGGAGTTTTATAGGAACACAATTGAATGGAAGCATTACGAACGCCGGGCCTTGTTTGTCCTTCTATTCC